AGTTATTAAACTCAAGCAGGGCTCCAAAGTGTTGTCACACTGTCAGTTCACAGCCACAGAAACATATAATTAAAGACAAAAACAAGATGACATTTATTTCTACCACTGTGTAAAACTATAATAAAAAAAAGTATGGACGACAGCCTAAAAATATGCAATTACTAGGAATCAGAAGGCAAACTGTACAAAGGGCTAACCTGACATTAAGACCATTAAAACTAGAAAAAAGCATTTATTTAACCCAGACCCTGTGGAGAAATATGTTAATATGCATATGCTTTCAAGCTTATTAGTAATCTAAAACGTCTTTTACATGAAAACTTTAGCAATTTGTTTTACTTTAACTAAACTGTTGAAAACAGCCGCAGGTTGTATCAGACAATGATTTATTTTTCTATCTTTTTTATTGTATTGTTTTTTTTTTTGTGTGGTCGTGCAAATAAATAAATCAAATAAAATGTTCCCTTCAGGAGGATTAACAATAATTTTTCATTCGGTTGATTAAAAATGCTGCTACATTGTTAACCAACTTTCCTCCTCAGCAGTGATCGCCACCTGGTGGCTGGCTGCAGTAAAGGTCACAAATCCCATCTCCTCTATGTTAATGGATGGGACATGGATCAATTTTAGAAGTCAAACAATACTGTAAATATTTATTCTTATCACAGTGAAGTATGTTCAAGTGTTTTTTTCCGGTAAGTTTGGTTCATTTGATGCTATAAAAACAGTGTGATTGACAGCTGAGACTGATCTGTCCTCATTCATGGCTCTAAAAACCAAAGAAATCTGACTGTTACAGTTCAGTACTTCATCAAAATTGTTAACAGCTGATTTAGATTTGTATGTCTGACTGGGCACGGTATTTGGTGTGCACATCCATGCCTCCAGGATGCACAAGTAAATTGATTCTGGTGACCCATGCGTTCTCTTCTAGCGCACCCCTCCACATCTTAATTTCTGTAGGCAACATGAGCTGACAAAGTCTCCAAAATCTCAGAGAGTATCCACGAGATTGGCATAAAATCTGATCTGCGCATTCACATTACCAACAGGAACAGAGCTATTGATTAGCTTTGACCCGTGTGACCCTTTCCTTTACAGCACTATCAGGGCAAATTTTCTGACCCCAAAAGACATGAAGCTAGAATTCCCTCTAGGATCAGCATCATCCAACCATTAGATTCACAAAATCTTTACTTTATCTTTACTGTTGTGTTTTGTCACTACCATTGACCCCACAGCTGCATATTTACTAGTCATCATATAAATTACTGTAAATTCAAGTCTCAAAGTGGAATAAGGATTTTTATTCCAGCATGCATTCGCTAAAATAAAATCACTATCTCTAACTCTTTCTATGAGCTTATTTTTTTACATCTTGTGGGATGTTATAATTTGAAAGGCTATTTCAATGTTGATGGCTCCACTGGCAATAAATCAAGGCTGGCAGACAATGCCAGCTTTCAGTCTGCCAATATGACTCTGTGATTGAATTTGTGATCCCTTCAGGGCATTTCTTTATTACACCATATGACTTCACACACTTAGCAGCTTTCCAGTGAAGCACGGTATCTGAAAGTCAGTTCCTTTAAGGGAAAATGTACGTTTAGGTTCAGGTACTGCCATTGTCTGTGTGTGTGTGTGTGTGTGTGTGTGTGTGTGTGTGTGTGTGTGTGTGTGTGTAGCGTCATTTTATTGCTAAATCGTGTGACCTTGAATAATCTTGCTATTAATCTCCACATTATATTTCAATTGCACAGTTTCAGCTAAACTATGTGTATGTGACTGACACGTGTTATACGCGTCCATCTATCTATCTATCTTTCTATCTATCTATCCATCTATCGACCAGTCACACTGCAGACATTTTGATCTGTCAAACATTAAATTATTGATAATAAGAAGAATTGTGTCAACATGCTATTTAGTTGTGCTACTTCTTCAATATGTCTGCCTCGGTTGATTGTTGATAGTAGTGATGGAGAACATCTCACAGTGGCCTCAGAACAACCATGGAGGCAGTCAAACACTGATACTTATCAACAAATGTGATGCGATTCGCTCAAAGCATCATGTTCAATATCTTTTTACATAACCACTGGTACTAGTTGGTTTATTGCCACAGAAAGTACAGTATAGTGAGCTTGACATTTTAATAGAAGCTACCTTCAAAACGTACTCCTAATGCATTTAGAGGAAAATGCATTTGCACATTAAATAAATTTGAATTCCTCTCTTTGAAAACATTTTTTGGCTTGAATAAAGTATTCGGCCTCAGCATTAACTAACTGAAGTGGACTATTTCAAATGGTTCAATGAAATGAACAAATGAAATGAAACCCAAGCATCAAGGACAAGAAGGTAGGCTAGAGCAAAAAAATAATAAATGAAAACACACAATTAAGAATTGAATCAAATTACCAGATTTGGCGTCTCATGTTACTAAGGGGTCTCCTGCAAAGACTGCTGAAGGCTTGTAATAGGCAGGTACAAAAATACGAAACGCTGAAGCTGACGAGCACTGAGCTGAGATGTATTTTTTCTCTCCCTTCCATTCTCTCTTGTTTCTATCTCTTCTTTTTCAGTGTTTGGCTGAGTCAGACCTCCCACATAAAAGTGGCTTATTGTCAAAGTAAGAGGGGAGTTACAGGGTGGATAAGAGGAAGGCAGAAGTAAAGATATAAATGGTGAGGGGATTTAGTCAGTATCAGCTTCCTGAAAGCGGCTTTTATCCCTCGACTTCTCGCTGAAATGACTTGTTACTGCGTGACCCTGCTCCTTCCTGCTCTCCCCCTGAGGTCTCCATCCATGACGGCAACAGAGTCCTTGAGTTGGTAGCAATGAGGTCATAAGGCGGACATGATCAACAACTTGAGAACACAGTATCTACAATACAGTTCTCTGTCCTTGACAACGGGGAAAACCAGTCAAAATAATCATCGAATTTATGTTTTGGTTTGTTAGATATGAGTCATGAGTCAACAGCATGGAGCATTACGGACAGAAATAGTTTATAATCCTCTGAACAGGGAAACAGAGAGAATTTTGTCCTTTCCCAAAGTGCTTCTTCTTCCTGGGCCTAAAAATACTTTACTTTCCACTTGTAATCGAATTAATAACATTTAACTTTTAACACATTTGAATGAACGTTAACATGTGTGGGTCTCAGCTATAGACTGTATATGAAGGTGGATGACACGTCTCAACTTCCTCCCACTATCCAGAAATGAGCCAAAAATAATTCTGGATATGAACATTGCCATGTGGCACATTTGGATTCTGCCCAATAGCAATTAGGGGATGGAGGCGTGGTATTATTGATTATTTTTATATCATCAAATAACCAAAAATACCACTCGATATACATCAGTGTGATGTGTACTCTGACTTTCTGATTTGGTTCATGCCCCTTCCACTAACATGGAGAAGACAGGGTTTATGACCGGTACTGTAGCCAGCCACCAGATGGCGTTTGTCGTCACTACTGGGGAGCTGTCATGACTTTATATGCAGTCTCAGCCTTCACTGTTTGTGTGCGAGTGTACTTATGATGTCTTGCTTGTATAAGTGCACGTGCCAGATAAACAACATGTTTGTTGCACTCATTCATGTTTCATTAGCAGGATAAACTACGTGTTCTTTCACACCAGTGTGCCCGATTCACCTAAAACAATTCTGTTCATAAATTACTCATTACTTCAGTTGTAAAAATGACAGTGAACAGTGACACCCTGATGAAATGTGAACCTTTAACAAGTTTGTGTCAATTCTGCCAAGAACGACTCCCCTGCAGCAATGTTAATGTAATAATGAACTCAGTGACTCCAATGTATTAATAACAGTGTTACGTTTGCTGTTTTGTTTTACTCAGGATTTTATTTATTGAAGTGGCCCAACTCAACTGCCTTGGATCTATGTCTTATTATTTAAAGTTATCTCAAAGACCATCATATAAAGATGGTCTCCTACAGAGAAACTTTACTGTAATTCATCTCTATTATATATTATTATATTAACACAGTGTTAACATGTTTACTTTTGACTAGAACATTGACTTTAGGGGTCTTTTTAAATCCAACAATGACAAATTGGCGACATTATAGTTCAGCCCTTCAGCTTTTAAATGTGTCTCTGATTTTATTTTTCTTAACTTAAGTGTGCGTCTGCTCTTGAGTCTGACACAGATTTCTCTCTGGATTACCAGCTGAGAACAGTAGCACAGTCCCAGACTCCATAAATATTTTACTTGAGTAATTATTTGTTAAGATATTAAACAATGTAATTGAATTTTCATCTGGCTAATTCTTTATTTTGCAGTGTTGAGGCTCTGTCTAACTTTTAGATATTAAAGTTCTTACACTAAACCCTGTTGTTTTAGCTCATATTGTGTATTTTCTAAATTTCGAACCTTAAAAGAAACACCATGGTGTAATTGACAGTACAATGGCTTAGTATTTTTGAAAGTATCATGGTACACTTTGCTCTATGATAAACACGAGACACGATGTAATGTTTTTATTAAACAAACAAACAATGCAGAGAGGATCTACATTGATGTCTTAATTCAACTTCTATGTATTTGGTTGTATTGTAAAGTTTTTCTTTTTAGGTATTGATTTTAATCTTTATGATTATTCTGAAAAATATCTGTCCTCAATTACATTTCTTTGTCATGAGGGTTTGCCAACAACAATCACTGCCATTAGTTTTGAATATCAGTATGTGAATGATGTCAGGGAAAATGTATGAGTATATTTGTAATGTTTATAACATAATGTTGATGGAGGCTGTTTGAGGGGCCCCCTTGGTATTTTGTGCTTGGGGCCCCCCACTAGACTCTAGACTCACCCTGGTGGTCTGGATCCGGGGCTTGACCTCCTGTCCTGGGTGCGGGTGCAGCCAGCAAGCGGCGCTTCAGTCTCGGCTGAACCGGACATGTCCACAGAGGATCGGGTTACACTCTGGTGACGCTACGCCCCATCTTTAAGCCCCGGTCTGAGCGCCGTTAGCCGCGGGACAACACAGGCTGAGGCCGGGACACCGTCTACCTGCCGGGGGGAAAAGTAAAAAACTCCCCCGCTGAATGTAAGTGATATTTACGGACAGGTTTTCTTTATGAAATGCTCCTGAACACTTGTGTTGAGATCACTTGTATTTAAAAAAAAGCTAAGAATCGTCTTTGTTCGCTACGCGGCCGCTAGTGTCAGGAAAACACCCGGAGACAGACGCCTGTTGTCGGGTCACGGAGCAGAGAAACACGGGCCTCTCCTCCGGTGTAGAGCACTCTTTTTTTACGGTGAACTGTGAACCGACACCGGGGACGTTTGTGTGTTTTTCCCCTGAAAGCAGCGGTAGTGTTCAGACTTATGTGTGTGTCGGAAGCCTGTTGCATTCAGGCTCCATGGACGGGGAGATGTGGAGGAAGGAGGAGGAGGAGTTGAGAAAAGCGGATTGTCCCGAGTGCTTTGGAGACTATAATCAAAACCACCGACTGGATTTACTAACTATACACCGACTCGAGCTGCAGCCATTAACACGACAGAGCTCCAGCCCTGCAGTAAATACACAACCCGCTGGTTTGTGCAGGAACCACTTGTTAGGATCTGTTTCAACAACGTCACGTTAAAGATCGAAGTCCACTCGGAATTCTAAAGATGATTTCTGAAAGGGATCGTTCACCCTAAAATGAAATTTCACTCATTATCTACTCAACACTGGGGAGGGGGGGGGGCACCATGTCTTTAAACGAAAAAAAAAAAACAACAGAAAAAAAGACAGACATTCAAATTCAACTCTAAACAGCGTATGTCTGCTGTTATCTCCCTGCCTGGGGCCGCGTTAGAGCGCAAACACACCAAGCACAAGCTCTCGCCCAAGGGGGCGCAAGACGTGATAAGCAAGAACTCACGATAAGTACCGGTAGCATCACTAGTTCCGGTAGCATTGGAGGGTTCTTGCTGATGTCGTCACGTAGAGGTCGCGAGCTTGTGCTCGAACGTGAACGCGGCTCCGGGCTGAGAATAACAGTGGTGGTCACCAGTTACTTCTATTGTATTGTATGTATTGGATTTTGTTTAAGAGTTTTGTGGACCCACCCAAGTGAGTAGATGATGAATGAATTTTCAATTTTGGGTTGTGAACCATTACAGGCCTTGGGTAATGTTTCCTAAATATGCTAATCACGTCTCCTCTCCTGTAAAGGAGCAGGAAAACATTTACAATACATTACCAATACTAGAAATCCCAGTGTACCTCGTGTCCCTGAAAGCATCACCTATAATAATCTATTGTTATAACATGAGAAAAACATATATACACACAACTGAGTAGCCTATAGAGATAAATCCATGACCATACTATAATATTTGAGGAAATAGAACCACAATTTACTTAGTGTCTCAAAAAACAACATGTTTTATTATTACTATTATTATTATCATTTTTATTACCAATATGAATCCGAACTGTGTTCCACAAATGTGCCTGATTTTTTTCTCCATCAAGATCCATTAATTATTCCCTGAGAGAAAAGGTGAAAATGTTGGAAAACTTATCACAATATTTTTTGGTGTAATCAACAAATAAACCAACTAATAACAAATAATGGTGAAGACACAACCTCGTCGGCGGTGGTAGAAAGTGTTGCAGTAGCACTAAAGATAATTAGATATTTACAGTGCTTTTATCTTATCAAGCAGCACATTATCAGTGCAGAAAATTAATAGGCTAAGCCAAATATCATCAACACCTTTTAAGACAGATGCAACGTGCTTTATTCTGCTAGCTGATTCTTTACTTTGACAGTTGCGCGCACACAGTTGACGAAGCAAATGAAATGACCATGAAACAAACCGCCGCTGTGTTCATCCCGGCTGCCACCAGTGTCATGGCTATTCTAAGAATCAGTATCGGGCCTTTAATTATCTTACCAATCTCCTTTAATCGTGTAATGTCTCCCTGAGTGATGTGATGCTTGTTACAAAGCCACTTAAAAACTCAAGTATGATGTCCCTGAGATCGGAGTTGACAGCCACTGCACTAATAAACATGAGTCCATGATAAAGACATAACCATGTTCATATGTTCTCGTTAGGCTTTGATGGTGGGGGGGATAAATGCAGCAAGGTTCTTTACCACGTGTCCTTTTTTTCTGTTTTAAGCAGCCTGTGAAAAACTCATGTATTTTAATAGCAGTGTGTTTGTATGTGGTCTAGTTGCTGTCAATGCATTATAAAGCAGCATGTATTTTGAATTACTGCAGGTCTTGAGAGTAATACTGATATCTAGATGAAGTAATACATATTTTGAGCAAAGTAAACTAGAGCACTCAGTAGAGCTCCACCTCCACCGAGGCCCAACAGACCACTTTTAAATTCACTATGAACTGTTGTTTTGAACTGCACCAAATTTCACACACTCTTAAATATGCTTGATTCTTTTTCATCAAGATCCATGATTTATTCTCTGAGAAATCAACACAGATGTTGAAAAACGCAATCTCGCAATGTGCAAATTCCTGGATCTGCACCAAAGGGATTCTTCCCTGACAAATACCTCGTGTTTTGTGGTCGTCCATCCGGTAGTTTCTTGTGTAATCCTGCAAACTAACAAACAAACGCAGATGAAAACGTAACCTCCTCTAAAAGTCTAAATCAGTTTGAGTAGAGGGTTTAATGATGGTGTAAGAAGGCCGTTGTTTGATGGAATGTGATTATTGATGATCAAAATTTTGGGATAGAACTAGAATGGAACTATAAACTCCTTGGTTGAGGTAAATGTTTATCAGATGCGATTGCAATGTGTATTCATAGTCAGTGTGTTAAATTAAGTCCAGATAATGTAAATTACCAGTTGTTAATCAATCTATAATAGCATTCGTCAATTATAAACAAAGAAAGAGCCTACAGTAGACGTGAGCTTGTTAAGAGACTCGACACCTCCGCCCTGTGACTCAGTAACAAGTCTGGTCTGCAGCACAATGGTTACTCTGTGAGGTTTTTTTTGGGGGTGAACCATTCTCCCTGAGATAAATATGGGCCTGACAGAAAGGAAATAAATCCATTTTCCTTTTCATGTTGACCTTTTACAGAGAGAATGTGTAAGAGGTCGGGTTCAGAGGAGAAAGAGCATTTCCTGCCCTGACTTCCTGTTTGTATAGGGTGTGTTGATATGTTGTATGTTGACTGACTCTGTGTGTTAAGACGAAAAAATAAGCTGTATGTTGTTTTTCACAGGCCTTGAAGAAAGGGAGGAGTGTGAAATTGCTGTGAACGGAGAAAAATAACGTCTATGTAGAAATCTAAAAATGATTGAAACAATGGGTAAGTTACATTTTTTGTATATTTGTTTTTTGGCAGCTACTAACACCTGATGATGGATTTAAATACATGTTCAGCGAATTCTAAAATAAATAATGGTTAATAATCAGTGCATATCTGTCTAAAGTTTCTTTTTCTTGCCTATTTCTGCCCCTAATCAAACTGAATCAGCTTTAGTGTCTCGTCTTGTCCTGATAATATAATTCAGACTTCAATATCATTACTCAGTTTGAATAAGATTCCTAACAACCAAGATAAATACAACTCAAAGTTAAATATTGCTGCTGCACACATACCGTGCATCTCTTCATTTTCAATTTCATTTTATAAAATGAGCACTTTTTGGAAAGGGGTTTGGTCTAGACATTTGGATGTCCGTCTTTTGCTGGCTCCGCATCCCACATTTGGCTCCTGCTGTGTGTTTTCTCAACCAGCGTAAGAGGCCCTGGATTCAGTTGAACGCTGGCGCACTGTCGGTGTTGCCATATCTGATAATGTTACCACATATTTGATTGTTTGTTTACGCCCGTTGAGGTTTATTTGTCCAACTGTCAGTAACGGAGCCAAAATAGTGTTGCTAGCTTCTTTCTTTTAAGCTGCAATCTGTGGAGACTCTCAAGACTGCCGTATTTATCACGTGCAGTCATTCTGCAGTCAGGTTCAGGCAATGGGGCATAATACTCAAGTTGTTTTATAATGTGAATTTAGGGTTAAATCATTCAATTCAGGTTCAAGCTCACATAAAGAAATTAAATTGAAAAATCGGACTAAAATTACATTTCGACGAGTAAAATGTTGCCTTCCATATGCTCTATTACATCTTTTGGAACACACACAAATGCAAACTGCTGCAAAACCATGTCACAGTTCTGGTGCGACTCCTCATTATGCACACTGAGGCTAGAGCGCTGACAGCGATATAGCTACCTGCACTGGACCACTGGCGAACAGAACAAATCTGTCGACCGAGGGTCAAGCATTTTTGGCTTGTTTACAACTGTTGTTCCAACAACAATGCATCTCGGCGCAAAAAGTGCTTTGGACCTTGTGCACGCCCTATTAGGTGTTAGTCTCAGTTGGTGAGCCTGGGAAATTGCCTGATTTTTTTCCAGATGACGTTGCGCTGGCCCAAGCTCACTAACAAGCCTCCCTGGAGTTGCTCCATCGTAGGGCTTATGCAGGGTCCAGCAAGCAAACTGTTGCAGGCTGTGGTTCTTTTATCTTTCCCCCTTAATATCCTCTCTATGCTCCTGTGCAACCTACAATTGATCCTAATGACAAAACAGGGGACATTGCTAGTCTGGAGACAAACACTGTGGAAAGTTTTTCTTCTCAGGTGTAAAACCTGATGTGGTTTCAATACTGTGAGGTCTGTTGAGCACAGGCTGAGATCTGTGGCATTGTTAAACAAATACAAATGGTTATTCACTCTAATGAATTACGGTATTTTAACTGAATCAATTATGTCATTTCCACACACCCTTCCCTGTCTCACTATCTCTGCTCTGCCCTGATAAAACTCCCATCTCATCACCTCTCTCCACCTCTATCTCACCCTCTCCCCTGCATCCAATCCTTCTCTCCGGCCTGGCACTGTCACTGAAATATTTGACGGCTTGCAGATACACAGCGTGCCTTGCAGGCGGTGGAGCGTCTCCAGGCCAAACTAAAGGAGCGAGGCGAGGTGCCCGCTGAGGAGAAGCTCAGCCTGCTCAAGTCAGTGCTCCAGAGCCCCCTCTTCCACCAGATCCTGGCCCTGCAGAAATCTGTCCAGCACATCAGAGAGCAGGTAAACTACACATCCAAGTATCTGTGACAATACACTGAACACTATATGTTTTGATTTCATATAAAACTATTTATTTTCACAAGCTTAACTGGGCCTGCCAAGCTGTGGACACGTTAAATGAGGACGATAGTGACAAAAATACTGTTTGGTTCCCAGAATGCTAAAGCACCATGGAAGGTTATAAAGAGGTTACACAATTATAGTCATTTAAAGTTCTGCATTATTATTGTATGAGAATAAACACAGCCAGATGGGTGCATTATACTTTGCCAGTAGACAAGTAATATAAACAGAAGTAGTCAAGTTTGATGAGAAATAACAGCTGATTTGCCTGTTTTCATCATTACGTTGGTTTAGGAGGGATTGAAGCAGAAGGACAGGGGATATCATCAACTTATCATCATTGTCCATGTGTCTATATGTCTGAGCAATATTATGAATCAGTGGATTAGTGTGTCTTCAGACACATAAAGCTTATAGTTATTGTCAGTGGTCATAATCATACGTTGTTGGTAAAAAGGTGAAATTGAAATTCCTGGTTACCTGCATCTCTTGCCTGTTTCCTGGGTGACCTTTCTGATTCAGTATGTGACTCATGTTAAAGTCCCCTCCCACACACTCATTTCTTTCACCCCCCCCTCATCCCCAGCAGTGTTGCTGCTGTGGCCAAATTGCTGCCAGGGTTCACACAAGTCAGATATAATATGGATACATGAGCAGAGATAGTTGGTCTAAGTCAGAAACTCTTTCTCAGGCTGATTCTCCACTTTGAGAATTGAGCATTTGAGTGCAAGGAGAGAGCTCTTAAGTCACAGTGGGAAGGGGCCGGGATAAGCGTTTGAGAAAGAGAGACGGAAATATTTCAGCTATGCAGTGGGAGGCAGGGATGCTGGAGCTTTTTACTCCTGGTGGAATTTAGATTATAAAAGCCCTGCTGGCATTTTGGTGAGCTGGCGATTTAGCTTGTTGCAAAAGGGCTATGTTTCTGTGTGTGTGTGTGTGTTTGTTTTACTTAGCAAGTTTTATCAAGGAGCCATTCATTGTGAAATCCCTTCAGATCTTGAAATGGACTCCTTCCACATTGCAAAAAATGGTTTTCATAAACTCACAAACACACATACAAACAATGTAGGCTATATACTGTATATATAAGACATGTCACAATAAAATGTGTATGTGTGAATGTGTGTGTTTAGAGTTTCCAAACCCAGCAGAACTTGTTTAGTCGCCTCAAGCAGAAACAATTTGGAGAAAGTGTGCATTTTGTTGTTACACAAGAGCCAGACACATAAACGCACACACACCCACTGTCAGTCGTCTGGCTCCACCAGTTAGGCCTAGCTCAGCCCATGTCGCTATGGCGACAAGGCCCCTCTCTCCAGTGAGAAAGAGGCCACTGCCGCAGCGTGAAGTGGGGCAGAAACAATTTCTTAAATGTGCAAGAACCAAACTGGAACTTTAATCCTCTTAGCAAGGCCCCAGCTAACAAAGCTTATGCATGAGGACAGCAACTTAGCAGCATGCTACGCTAACTTAGCCAAGTCCATAGGGTTTTGTTTGCACCCTGCAGCACTAATGTGTCCTGTCCAATGGAATTCAGTTGCTGAGGACTAATCTGGGACTGTGTTAAAATGAGGCACAATTTTACTGTACTAAACATTAAAAGTTGCACAGTCAACTTCCTTGTGCACACACACACAAGCTCACAAGGACAGTCTCTGCTCATCACGCCAAATACATTGTTTATGAAATAATCACTTTGAATGGACGTGACTATATGAATCGAATCCATTTCAGATTGCCATAAACATTACGGCCTTTGGCTAATGAAACTGGAAATAACTCTGTTTCAGACAGTTGTCGCATTCATGTAATTCATCTGTCACAGAAGTAAAGTCATTGCAGTAATTAAAACCCAAGCGCATTAAGGCATCCAGATGGCCAGTGATGCTTTTCCTGCACCATGACAGAAATATTGTATTTGGAGCCTCGTCATTGTTGGAACATCAGCTAAGTGCCATTATCTCTGTCCAAGGATTAGGCTGCCACAGATCCTGCTTATCATGGTGCGACAACAAACTATCTGTCATCGCAGTGGTGTCAGACATCCCCAATTCAGGGTTTTGGTGTCTAAAATTAACCTTGAATGTTCATGAGGGGTTTTGTTTGAATGTCCGTCTTTGGATGGATTAACACCAGAACTCCTGCTGTGTGCACGATCAGAAATTCTAATCTGCAGCATTTAAAGTGCAAACCTGACAGTTAGCTATTAAAATAAAGGTCCAGTGTCATTCTCAGTTTGATTTCTATTTGATCTTCCTCCATGGTGGCGAAAACGTGTTTTTAGAATAATCCGCCATTGTGAAGCATCACTCACTACATGTCTTGTTTGTCTTTATTTTTCCAGGGGAGTGTCCCGTCATCACGAGGCAGTGACCCTATTGATAACATCACAGCAGCGAAGCCCAATGGAAGCCACGTTTCCTGCTCAGATGCATCTGCTGCTACACAAATTAATGGAAATACATCATCTGAAGAATTTGAGCATATCATTCAGTCCATGGCACAGGTATAAACAACAGGAAATCCTCCCTTTTAATGTCATAATGGAATTATATAACGCTATAGCTCTATTTTTGCAGTAGATTTTCTTCTTATTTTCAATTGATTTGCTCATTTGATCTGACAAACACAAACAGGTAGATAGTAGATAAGTATTTCAATTCAAGCTAAATATCTGGAGACAGTGAAAAATGAGAAGCACACACTATAGACAGCGCTCTTCCCTCTTGAGGCACTTCAAACAGACTTCTAAAAGCTGCCTGTAGCTTTGATGCTATAATGAATCAGCAAGGGCCCAAAGTGTATATGTGTTTGAATGGCACAGGGGCGCTACGTGACTCATGTGGAGCTGCAGAAGCCAGTGTCGGGAGGTCTGGGCTTCAGCGTGGTGGGTCTGAAGAGCGAGAACCGCGGCGAGCTCGGCATCTTCATCCAGGAAATTCAACTGGGAAGCGTGGCTCACTGGTACGTAAGAATCGGCCTGCCATTATTACCTCCACCAGTTCGGTTATGTTTTCATCTGTGTTTGTTTGTTAGTTAGGGGGCTTATGCAAAATTTACAGAACCAAGCTCCATGAAATTTTGAGGAGGGGTAGGGGAAGCCCCAAGAGAGAACCTTTTGATTAATGGTGGAGTAGGATTTCCTTTTCCCTTTCTTTAACAGAGATCTTAATGAAAAGAAATCAGTTATACATAGCAGGTATGAGCAGGTGAAATATTAAGCAGTTTGTAAAAGATTCTGTGTACGTAATGTATCTGATCTAATATGTGTTGGTGGAGGTATGTGCTCTCTGACTATCCCTCTAGTCCAAAGAGACATGAGAACCCAGAGATCTTTTTAAGACAAAGTCAAATCTTTTCACAGCAAAGGTTCAACATTAAGCTAAATGTTGAATTAGAAGTACAGAATTAGATGTGTTTGTTTTGTAATGGACATTCAAGAGATGCTACAAATGTACTTCTTATTAATATTGTAGAGCCAAAATCTACAAGTCAGGATGAAAAAGTTACAAAACAGACAAGAAAACCATCAGAGACAAAATCTTCGAGGTTCTGAAAACATGTACCGCACTATGCCCTCATCTGAATGACCCTCTCTACTTGTTTCACCACTCAGTGATGGGAAGCTCAAAGAAGCTGACCAGATCTTGGCCATCAATGGTCAGCCCCTGGACCAGACAGTGACCCACCAGCAGGCTATAGCCATCCTGCAGAGCGCCTCAGAGAGGGTGCAGCTCACTGTGGCTCGAGGGCCGATACCTCAGCTGGCCAGTCCTGTGGTGTCCCGCACACCCTCTGCCGCCAGCACGCTGTCGGCCAACTCCAGCACGGTATAAATACACTCAACACTGGGTTCACAGCCTGACCAGACTTTTAAGTGGAGACCTGGAGGCTTGCAGGAATAGTTTGTCTTGAACATATGCACAGACGCAACTGAACAAAGACACATAGAAGCAGCTCAGTCCTACATGGCAGTACAGTGTGAACGCAAGATTCAGAGACACACATCAAAGAAAATCAAGGCGTGCTATTTAAAAGTTGTCCTTAAAATATGCAAACACTATCTGCTTTACATATCCAAATCCATAATAACTGCAACGCTTTGTTCGAGTTAATTTTTTCTTTCTTCTTTTTATATTTAACCCAGTTGCAGCACATTGAGACAATTGAGCTGGTCAACGATGGCACTGGCCTCGGTTTCGGTATCGTGGGAGGCAAGACCACTGGGGTCATCGTCAAAACCATCCTTCCTGGAGGCATAGCTGATCAGGTGATCGCATTAATGCATCTCTACTTTCTTCTGGGACTGGGAGGCTTGGGCATTTTGAATTGTTGTGTATTCAGTGAATACAGAAAATATATTTTTTTGTATTTCACACTTTGAGGTGACTCAGCTGTGTAGACTAAGAATGAGTTAATGGCAAGGAAGCACAGAATTAACTGTCACTATGATTTGTTTGACATGGTTAGATTTCTACTGATGCTACACAGACTAAGACAGAAAATAAAACTCTTTCTACCTCAGGACGGTCGCCTGCGTAGTGGGGACCACATCCTGAGAATTGGAGACACTGACCTCCACGGCCTGGGCAGCGAACAGGTAGCGCAGGTCCTCCGGCAGTGTGGCAACCGGGTGAAGCTGGTGGTCACCAGGGGCCCCGTGGAGGAGAGCGCCTCGGCCTCTGCTGTCATGCCAGTGGTGCTCCCCACTGTCAACGAACAACAGGTGAGAGTGGTACTGGGATCTGACACAAATCCTGACAATAAGGAAATGTCCTCACTTTCAAATAGATTTTATGATCTGCAGCATCTCTAGGGTGAAGCAGTTTCTCTATAACAAAACAAAATGACTGATTATCATATGCAACGCACATTCAGAGTTCTACACTTGTATCAAAAACATATCAGACCTAAAGTTCAGCTCGTTCATCTCCATTTTTTACCCTTTCTTACCACTTGACAGCTCTGGATATACAGAATTAAAGAATATTGCAGGCTACATCACCTGTGACTCACACACTGGAGAGCAGATGCTGCTTTACTTTCTCAAAAGCAGCACTTAAACAGAAGTTTTTATGGCTACTCTCAGCTCTCTGCCCTAAACATGAATTCATTTCTGCGAGCCACTGAATGAATGACGAACGCTATATCCTTTTGATGGCACACGTTAGCTGGTGGTGTTTTTATGGCTGACAGCTTCAGAGCGCTCATTCATCAAGGTTGAAAAATGTATTTTGGTGATCATGTTGGGCGTCAGATGAGTTATGTGTCACCGTTTGTATTTTCCTCTGTTGTGTCCACTGTCAAATGAATTATCATTTACTTTTATTTGTTTTGTTGATGCTGACCATTAATCTTCTCACAGGGCTATGAGGAAGAGGAGGCTGAAGCGTTCGATGTGAACCTTACCAAGAACACCCAGGGACTGGGGATTACTATTGCTGGCTATGTTGGGGATAAAAATTTAGGTGAGAAGTGATAATTTTAATGAAAATGTCACATGTGCTTCACGAAAGATGCGCTAATCAATATATTTGTAGCATAAAAACGAAGGATCAGATGTATAAGAGGCTGCTTCTTAGTGCTTTTTACCTCTAACACGGATGAGGCAGGATTTATGACCCATAATGCAGCCAGCCTCCAGCAATCAAGACGTTTTGGCTTCACTCTGGGATAAGTCATGTTGTTCATTATTGCGTACATACGGGCTATAGTTTTATCATCTAACTGTCTATTGTTTGATTGTTAGTTCATTCTTTTGTTTTTTTAGACCTGCCTCTTATCAAACCTTTTTCAAGCTGTGGCTGTAATTTTCAGCAAAACTGATCTGATAAAAACATTAGTGAAACGTTAGCTTTGTGCCTTCAACAGCGAAAGGGACATATTTTCCTCAGGAGTCCAAACAAAACTGAAAAGGGTATTTTTATCAAATGGAGAGACACAACTTTCAATGACTGCTAATGTCGCTCCATGTCTAATAGATATAATAATTGTTTGCTAACACTTTGATGACAACAACTTTATATGGTAATGTCTGTGTTGTGTGTTTAGCTATTATGTGCACACACAATTCACGCAGCTTTAAATTAATTTCAAAAAACGATTCCACTTTCATCTATCTGCCTTAAAAAGTTGAGTCGTTAGCCGAAGCATAATGGCACCACAGATAGCAATTTATTATGACCTATTATGTTCAACAAATTAATTGAATATTATTTTGAATATTGAATTGCCTTTGCTAAAATGAACACTTTCTTTAGGCATATATGCACTTTGTTCTTCACTTCAATGATTGTGACTGATGTAACACTGAAACATGCTCTCTAACAATGACTCTTACCATTAAGCTTGAACATCTGTTTTCTTCTCTCCTTGGGTCTGCATTTATAACGTCATGATTCACGACTCCTCTCCTCATCCATCTTGATGTTTTTGTCTTGTTCCGACTGCTCAGAGCCGTCTGGTATTTTCGTTAAGAGCATAACAAAGGACAGCGCCGTAGATCAAGATGGCCGTATTCACGTTGGAGACCAGATAATCGCAGTAAGTACACCCATTATGCTTTTATGTAGCTATTACAATTTTCTCTGTCTTCAGTGGCACAATTGGAAAATATGCTGTGAATGTTTTGTATTATCAATTACATTGCAATCATCACTTTTGCCCATTCAGCCATTGGAGGGGAATAATGGAATTCATAATTTTGAATAATTCACAATCAATTGAATGTTCATTAAGGGTTTTTTTTGGTACAATTTTATCAAATTAGCATAATGAGAAATTAAGCTTTAAATTAATCTCTGCAGGACACTGACAATGAAGTTAGATTGTCTTGCATCCTATTAAACATGAATCACCTTTGCCCTGCGTTTCCTCAAGTTCTCACAAAGACTTGTTTTGTTCTGTTGTATTGATATATATATGTGTGTGTGTGTGCCATGTGTGTGTTTGATTGAGGTTTATTAAGTGTAAATGATGATGTGCTTTGGGACTCAGATTAGGAACTTAATTGACCGTGAATTATTTAAATGTATGGAGTTGTAAGCTGCCCTCAGTGATCTAAATAAAGTGAACTGCTAAAATAGATGGGAACACTCATGTGCAGCACTCTGTTCCTGTGTATGCCTGCTGGTGTTGATAATTGCTCAAATCAATCTTATTTCAATTTTAACCATGTCAAACAAGCTCTTTTGCCCTGATTTAATCCTCCTGCTCCCAAATGATCGCCCTCTGCAGGTCGACAGAGTGAACATACAAGGATACACCAACCAACAGGCCGTGGAAGTGCTCAAACACACCGGACAGACAGTCCACCTTAAGCTGATCCGGCGGGGCTTCAGGCCTGAAGAGATCCCCCCCGCTGTGACCCCCAGCGTCACCATCCTCCCGTCCTCCACCACCATCCCCACCACCACCATCGTCCTGAGGGAGCTGGAGCTGGAGAGGAAGCAAGCTGAGGAGGCAGCTCTAGGTAGGAAGGATAGAAAAAGTGAGAGAAATTTAATGAGGACAGAGAAAGAAAACAGATTCTTTGTCACTCATCATCCTGTCAGGAAAAAGAAGTGTCATTTGATGTGTAAATGTGGCTCAGGCGGGAGTGTTCACCGCTCCGTCAGGAGTAATTTCCCGTGACTCCAAATGGAATTTTCACTCACTTTTATCACAATAGTTAAAACAGAGACACAACTTTCTCCACATGAAAACACTGACTTCAGTTGAAATGAAATTCAGTCCAAACTGAAACATTATGATATACAACGTAATGAGAAAACTGTCCCTTCACAGAACCAGTAGCTGGTGAATTTATTCAGTCGTAGATTGTTAATATATTAAATAAATATTAAACACTGGGATTTATCACGGAAAATTGATTACTTTTAGCCATTAAATAGGGTTTTTCCTAAAAAGAACAATAGAGCGAAAATGCCACATTACTCTCCATCTTCACATTGTAAATGAGGGACAAAATTATTTTCTGACATGTAGAAATAACTATTTAGGTACCACACTTATTTTTTCATTATTTCATTGCATTGATAGAATAAGCTTTAAATGATGCCATTAAGACCAAGAGCTATAATAAGTCAACCTGTCATAACGCCCAGCATCAGACAATTGCTTCAGGTGAGTTAAGTGTTGCACGTTGACGCAAGTGACGATGTCGAAAGCTGTAGAGTGTTCACGACAAAATTTGCAGAGGTGATGTGGCTTCAGGGTTCTGCAGACTGAGTTCTGCAGCTAGTTTTTACTTGATGCAGGCAGGTTAGAATGGGCACTGCAACAGTTAATTGTAATTTCATGTTTGGTGCTGTGTGGAACTCCAGAGACATAAACAGCGGCATGAAATGTACGAGGATTATTAAATATATATTTAAAGTCCTGGTGTGTTTCGGGACTGTCATCGAGAACGTGCATATTCTCTTTGGACCAATGGGAAAATGAGATTAGCGCCTCTTCTAGACGGACAGTGATTATGAGTGAGTCAGACATGCTCATGCTATGTTGGAGGAATTAACAGATAAACAGATGCGTGCTTTTCCAAATCAATTCAGCATTGATGTATACGGTACTTTGAGTGGTGAGCAGATTACTTTTTCCAGTAGCTGTGTGCGTGTGTACTGTCAGGTGTCTGTGCCGCTGCTTGCTTCTGTCCGTCACACTTTTCATCGTGTGCTTCCAGTCACCGTAGATGAAAAGCCGCTTCAGACAAAGAGTGAAGGATCTGATGTCAGCGCAGCCATGGATCAGCTAACAGAAGACAAACATGGTAGGAGGCTGGGACTGTTTTTTACAGCGGGAAAGATACTAGCGCGCACATCTGACAGATAAAGGTTCTCGTTGTCAGGACCATGCTGACTAGCAACACACAACATGAGGAAATAGGGAGATGGCTGCTGTTAGTATTTCCACAGACTGCAGTAAAAAGTTTAAGAGAGACAGATAAAAAGGTTTTTTATGTTGGTCTTCTCTCCAACACATCACAAGTACTTTGGAAATAGTGATGAATTTATGTTGCGTTACTGGCTCTTAATCATTGATCATAAATTTGCCTTCATGTTGTTGTGCTGTATTTTAACACAAGTATTTTGTTTTGTGTTTCCCAAGTGATGAGGTTAACACCCTTCGAAGAAGAACGACTAATGAAGAAGTGGGAGGAGATTCTGGGTCCAAGTAATGAAGTTGTAGTAAGTGAAATTCTCTCTCTCGCGCTTCAAATTATTTTCAAGGGAATGGTAAGTGCCAGATGATGCCAAGGATGAATCTAGTTGTTAAAAAAAGGCGAATTGAGTCGTTCATTTCCAGTATTTGTAGATAAAAAAACTTCCCTTGCTGATTGAGATGTGAATTGTTGTTCCCACGACAGGTGGCTCAGGTGGAGAAGTACAGTGAGAACAGCGGCCTGGGGATCAACCTGGAAGCCAACAGTGGACATCATTACATCCGCTCTGTTCTACCCGAGGGACCTGTTGGTCGCTGTGGCAAGCTGTTCAATGGAGATGAACTGCTCGAGGTAGGTTCACATTGATTAAGTAACAACAGTGTCGACGTTTTGATACTGTATCTAATATTTATATTAGATTTTAATATTTAAATGTATTAAGAAAACTACATTGCTCATGGGGCGCATGTTACAGGTGTATATATAGACATGCATGTGTTAAAGTTATCAGAAATTCTTATTGCCTCATGATTTAAGTTGAGGTATATAAAGGATAAATGAAGAGGTTGAATTTCACCACAGGAGTTGCTAAAAATAAAGCTACACCAAACTATATTTTGTGAAAAATACGTTTTTTTAAGAGTTGCCTGGCATCAACAGAGAAGCTTTGCTTGGTTTCAAATTCCAAGGGTCATTATCATTTGTCGTAGATAACACCAACAACCAATCAGACAACAGAGACGTAGGGCAGACTGAAAAATATAAACAGACACGAAAACATGACTCAGTTAGTCTGATATTGCCTCAGCGGAAAATTCAACAGACCTTCCCACATCAGCGGCAGCCATCTTAATGAAAATGCCATCATTCAGTCATTGTATCAAAGCGTTTTAGACAAACACTTGTAACTGGCCTTACCAGTTTCAGGGGGGATGGTAATTGGTCTAAATAGGAGGGATCTGGCTGAAAGTGAAAGTGGCCTCTCATATTGAGAACCGAACAAAGAATGAATACTCTACACTTAAGTTCCCCCCCAGCTCTACAGGGCATTTTTCCATCTTTCCGTGCTTTGCTTTGGATTCACGGCCTGTAACTTAACTGTTCATTCTCACTGCGCTCATTTCCAGCCCCCAACAGGAAGCTGTTTTCATCAAAAGAGATATAAAAACCAAACGTAGGCTACATTCTCAGCACGCAGACTGAGAAAGTATTTAGTCGCTACACAGATACAGTATTTCCCTCAGGAACTGGTCGAACAAAAAGGAAACGGTGGTCAGAAAAGTAACTTCTAGTAAATGTTGCTCTGTGTCTGCAGGGTGTTATTACACAAAACAACTTCAACAGTTTCAAGTATTGTGTCAATATTGAGTTTACAGCTCAAACAGTCTTTACACCACTTGAAAGATAAGCACTTTCTGTCCCAGGTCAACGGCATCTCTCTGATTGGTGAGACCCACAAGGAAGTAGTCAGAATCCTGAAGGAGCTTCCACTGTGTGTAAATGTGACATGCTGTAGACCCGCCCCTCACCTGCAGACTGACATGGATGCTGTCCAACCAGAACCGGAGGCTTTGCCCACACCATTCAAATTGAAGGTAGACCTTTATCATACTTTTAAATGTTTACATCCACCATGACAAAGATCTTGATGTTATAAGGTTAAAATGTAAGTGATCTTTTCTTCCTCAGTGCTAAAATCATGCAGGTGATATAACTTACAGAGCATTGCAGCAGATGATGCATATAAGAGTGAGAAAGTCCCTGCATCCCCTTGACATGTAGTAATGTATCATGAAAAATGCATATAAGAAAGGGATGATGATTGGGGAGTGATATTCTTTTAGTCCTCCTCTTCCTTTATAGCCCATCAGCCGTTATCAGCTTAGCCTGTGCTGTCAATCGCTCCATTGCCAACCATGATGGATTAAGACTTAGCGATGAGCAGGGGAAAGCTGAATGTTTATTAAAACCAATTCTAGTAATAACTCAGCGGCAGTAGCCAACAACATTTGCTCGAGGTATGAAACATCAAAAGCAGCTTCACTTCGGGGAAGGGGGTTTTCATCTCCACCAGCTTTATCTGTGATAATGCTACTAAGGCCCTACCATCCCAAAGATATTTCGCTTGTACCGACTGCCAGAAACCTGAGCCAAAAACACAACAAGAGGGAAGCAGTCTATAGTTTGGGAGTTAAAGTCATGCTGTTAGAGCATGGCTTCCTCACTTTTTATTTGGCTTTTCCCCTGCAGAACGAAATAGACCTGAGCAGCATACTGGTTGCCGAAGACTCAGAGGTGAACAGAGGAGCGGCGAAGCAGGATAATGTGACAGAGGAGGCAATAGGATCTCCTTTGGCTATGTGGGAGCTGGCGATCCAGAATATCGAGCTGGAGAAGGGCGAAGGGGGACTGGGATTCAGTATTTTGGACTACCAGGTGGGAATTACAGAATGAAAAACTGCACAGCTGTTATTGTAAAGGCACAAGATATTTCTCTGTCTTATTTTTTGTGTAGTGTGAGTTTTATAAGAAGTCCCAGTGCTTTTTATATAATTATCAATAAAATGTCATAATCAGATGGAAATGTTCATACTTTTGAGTATTGTTCTTTTCAAATGTCAAAATGTATTGTTTTTGAAAACAAACTGGTCAATTCAAACATTTATTCCAATAAACTAAACTGAATTTCCTGTGATATGTAAGCTTTTTTTAACTTCCTCTAACTGAACTTTACATGCCACAGGACCCGATGGACCCTGCCAAGACGGTGATCGTGATTCGCTCTCTGGTCCCCAACGGTGTGGCAGAGCAGGATGGAAGACTGTTGCCAGGGGACAGACTCATGTACGTTAACAGCACCGACCTGGAGAACGCCAGCCTGGAGGATGCCGTCCAGGCCCTGAAGGGGGCCAAGCTCGGCCAGGTCCAAATAGGAGTCGCCAAACCGCTGCCTGTAAGCATTAGCATTCTTCCTTCGTGTTGTTTGCTTTAAACCTGTCTGCATGCTGAAGGCAGGATGTGAGTTGTGTTTGTTAGAGTTATGTTTGGGTAGAGTTTGGAACATGCTCTTGTGATTTTTTATTAATGAATTTGTTCAGCATGCCAGGGATTTATCACTCTGTGTATGCGAGGCTGTCTTTATATCATGCAGCTTAGTAACCAGTGACGAGGGTTCATCTTACAAGGGCTTGAATTTTTCATGCAGGAAAATGCAGGGAGGGAGGCTGCATGGTTTAGCATTCCACCCACTGTTCTTTCAGAGGAGGTCACCAGTCGAAAATGGCCTTTGCTCTTTGTTTCTTATTATTATGTTATTGAATTTTCCAAGAGCATGGACCCTGTGGTACGTTTAAACACATCGTCCCACCACTGTGCAAAATATTATGTCTGCCCAGTGGCATGTTCATCGCTCAGGGCACCCGTACGGTTTTGTACAGGATGATTCTCTCTGCAGTACTGCTTGCATTCTTTCAGCTTTAGCACTGCATTTCTCTTGTATTGAATCTGCCACTGGATTACACAATGAGACCTCTGGGTGACAAGGTTAGCTGGATTACAGAGCAGTAGGAAGCCTCTGTGGAATTATCCAGCTCTCCTGCAGGACATGGAATGTACTTCTGAGGGGCATTTTGCTGTATTGCCTCTCAAAACTGAACCTGACAAGTGTAATCCTCCAATATGCCTTCTTGCTTTTCCTATGTATGTCAGAGCTGCATGCTATTTTCAATATTAATTTGACTCAAAAAATGTGTCGATATGCCATTTGAAGCTATTTCTCTGATTGAAACCATAGATCATTATTCTACTCTAGTTAGTTTATAAAAATTCTCAGTGAGTCCTATCATCTTTTTCTCATTTCATATTAATCTATTTGTACTTGATTTGGTCTTTAAAAATCAATTTAAGAATCAAATTACACAAAGCTGGAGACACTGAAAGAATTTCTCCACTTTTCTAGGGAATATGTGGATATTCCCACTCTCCACACTCATATGGTGAGCAGGAAATAACCCCGTCATCCATCATCCATTCATTTGACTTCAACAGTATTTTGGTTGAAGAAGGAGAGGAAGAAGATCTGGCTGAGGGCATCGTTTACCGAGCAGAGCCGGCATTGGTTAGTTAGCTTTTGGGGGAAACAAATGGAAAATCAATCAGAATGTCCTAATCATAGGGGAAATCAAATTGTACTTGATTTGCTTATGTCTTAATATTTACCAAGAGTGATCTGATTGTTTGTAATTGTGCAAACGTTAGCTTATATGTGCAGCATTCTGACTAGTTACTGTTTTCTTGTTAGAATATCATGGTAATTTCAGCCGCTGTGATTGGATAATTCACCAGTCAACTCTTTAATAAACGTTTTCTGTCCCTGATTGGTTATATTGTTCTCATCCATAACCACAGATTGACACCAGTGAAGTAGACATATCTGATGAAAAGATGTTGGATCATTCTTACTCTGGGATGGAGGATGACACGTTCCAGGCGTCTATGATTGCTCTTCATGGTAGCAGCTGTAGCGCAGATCTGGATTACTTGCACTCCTCCACACCTAAGGTAAGAAAACATTTCTTTGACACCACAGAGAAAAAGATAACTGAGAGGAGAACGACAGATATAAATTATTTCCTCATTTCATGAAATGTTGCTGCACCAGTAACTGCCCTTTGTCCGAATGAGCTGGAAAGCATGTAGTCATTATTCTTTCTTTTTTTTTGCACTCAAGAGCCAAAATGTCACGAGAAATTTCTCTTCAGTCTTTGTTAAGGCAGCAATAACATTAATGACTTTGTTGTTATATGAGGATTGAAGCCGGGGCTACTTTTGTTGCCCCCTGAACAACATCTCTCCCAAACGGATATTAAATGACAAAGAAATAAACTAAGAGGAGCAAGAGCCACACAACGTGTTTTCCTAAGGGTACCTGTGCCTCCATTTTAACCAAAGGTCACAGTGTATGGATGATGCAATATAATAAGAATAAAATGGATGGTTTTCCTTTCTGATCCATTTGTGTTAATTGAACAACAATGTAAAGGTCACCTCTGTGTTAATGATCAAAGCAGTGAAGTAAGTTCACAAAGTCCGAATTAAATCACAGTGAATGAAACAGTTTTAGACAAAAGTCATGCTATTGTAAACCTCTGTAGAGTCACTGAGAGAACATTTCATTTTAGTGTTATTTAGAAATAAGGGGGCCTTGTTCACCACCACAGTTGTTACAAAGATTCTGACGTGTTGTCTTGGATTTCTTCTTAATTAAGAACAAAATCTATGCACCATCAAAAGCACTCTTTCACACACTAGAGTCCAGTTTGAGTCCCATTTATTTATATTTCCGTTAAGTCCTTCTTGACTTCTTAAATTTTCTTTTCAGTTTCTTTGATTTCCTCTAGTCTCATCCCCTTAAATGGGCATAGGGTGTTGGCCTGTGCTAACTGGGATTGACGGACATGCGCTCCACTACGCGAAGGCATTTATCAATTTAAGAACACTAGCATGAATCATTCTGCCGTTTAAGAACACGTCATAAATCTGACGAAGAGTTCTCTTAAGAACAAACAACATATTGGCGAATGAGGCCCATTACCCTTTCATTATGCCCTAAGCTTTATTTGGTTTACTGTAGATAAACCATATATCATTTATGGTATATAGACTTTCAACTAAGGTACAGTGATTACTAACTTTTTTAAGAACATACAAAATGTACTAGAAACTAATTTTTTCAGTGTTGCCTGTCTATTTTTCTAATTATTATACAGGTCATACTCCTATTTGACCCATGCTTTGAGTGGATACCCAAACAAGTCATCTCACAATTATAGCGTTACCTAATTAAAATGAAAGCCTGTTTTTTGTTTTACTCCACTTCTCTTTCTCTGTTTATTGAGCCCCGCTTGTATTACATATCCGCATATATTAACTTTTTCTTAAGAGTCCTATTTCTCTCCTGGCCTCCAGTGGGAATTTGCCTTGCTGAAATTCATCAGTAGCCAGTCTGGTTCTAATAAAGTCGTGAATGTTGCTATAATGAAACGACATTTTGTGCATTTTCCTCTCAAGATCACCAGKAATTTCTGCCGCTCTCTGTTGGCCACTGATGGCTTTTCTATGGCTCATTACAAAGAGGGCAGGATGGCGACTGAGCAAGATGGATTCCCCCCTGTTGGGCAATTGTCTAACTAACAGAGGAGAACGCTCATTCAGCTGCTATGCTTTGTTTTTCCTCAGCTGACAGCCCGTCTGGAGTTGCGGGATGAGCAACCCTGCTTTACGACACCGTCCGGCCTCGGAGACGACACTCAAGTGTTCTCACCAGAGAAGTCGGCCTCTTTCTCTCCTCCGAGTTTGAGAGGCCAGCTCCCGGCTTATAGCGTCGCAGTCGGCGGTTCCGATCACTTCCTGGCTCATCACGCGGCCAAAGAACCGGTGGAGTGCTCAAACTCATACAGCCCGTTTGCTGAATTAGGAACGGGATCGAATGCACTGGAGGAACCAGTGGAGCCCAGTTACTACCAGGAGGAGCCCCCACCCATCTCTTTTGAAGATATTAGAGATATAAAGATTTTAATAAAGGTAAAACAAATCTGTCTAACTACCCAGCATAAATCTTCCGAAAGAATAAAATGAGCACGGATGATTGTGCATTATGAAAGCTGCGAAATTATCATTCTTATGTGGAAGTGGAATCTCTTAAGTAACATTTGACCTCTCCCTGGTTGGATGTGAGGCTCTTGTAAAATATCAGATAAACAAAGTCCAAAAGTTTTTTTTCTAAATTAATTCTCTCAGCTAATGTAGTGCACCTACCTTTTCTCTGGAGAACTGTGCTTTGCGTAAAATCCTGACTTATATTTTCATTTACTTCCATGAATAACTGCGTTGAAATATCTCCCTCAAGGACAAGGTCAGCGTGAAAGAATCAGCAGAAGAGGGAGAGAAGGAAGCTCTGACCTCGGGGAGCAATTTTGAAAGGACCATCACCGTTGTCAAGGGCAACTCCAGCCTGGGTTTGTGTTAATTTCTTGACTTTTTTTTTATTTGTTCTTTTTTTTTTATTTGACTTCTCTTCATCCTTCGCAGAAGTGTAAATGAGGTTGAGGGACTGAATAGCATATTTGGCCTTTACTTTGAATGCCAGATTTGAAGCAAAAATGATAGATAGTTATTTTTTTTGTTTTCCTGTCTGAAAGGCTTGCTCCATTAATATATGGGATATTTGCATTTCAAAACCTGCCCATGGGGCTGCTGCTGGTCCAGAGAATACTAAGTTTCACCTTCTTAAATAAATAGGTGTTATGAAGTGACTGGCTGAAAACAGGATCTCATTTTGCTTTGTGTTGCTCATGAAAGGTTTTTAGTTGCTGGTCAAGATTGGTTGTCTATAATATGTTTGGATTTCTTTCTACCACTTCAAAATCTAAAGACTAACGTTAAGATTTTTGCAAACGAACTCCCACAGACTGTGCTGTTACATAAAGGAGTTTAAAATTTGGTGTCAGACTTCAATCACACTGTTTCCCAGCTGTCTGAGGGTAGACAGGTCTCTAGATAGACAGTATTATGCCACACTCTGAAATTAGTCTAATGAGAATGATATGAAAACCAAGGTTGTGAATAATGTGACAGTCTCTCGGATTATTTGCTGGGACATCAGGAAGTTTTCTTGCGTCAGAGCTGAAACTACAGCTGAGTTTTACTATTTCATTCTTAATAAAAGTAAAAGTTTCTCTCTGGTTGGGAACAGAGTTGTGTTCTTTTTTGGTTTTCCAACCCAATTTCTCCAATAACTCAAAAGTATATTTGTGATCTACCTTAAAGGCATGACGGTGAGCGCCATGAAAGACGGTTTGGGGATGCTGATCCGCAGTATAATCCATGGTGGGTCGATTAGCCGTGACGGACGTCTTGGTGTTGGTGACCTCATCCTGGCCATTAACGGAGAGCCCACTGCCAACCTGACCAACGCTCAGGCTCGTGCCATGCTGCGAAGACACTCCCTCATTGGACCAGACCTGGGGTAAGAGAGACTATTAATAAAAGACAGCAGCTGTACATGCATTTACTGAAACTCTGCAGAAGTTCATAAGAATGGTTATTATTGGAATTTGTTTGAATGGAGCTCCATCATATTGCAATGAGTTACCATCCAAGACATGGCTGAAAATAAGTCAGGGTTCTCAATTTAATGTATGTTAAATATGTTTATTATATTTAAGAGCATCACCTGAACAAATGTAAAATAGTCTAAAGCTGCTTCCAGACATGCACTGAACTCTGGAGATCTTTTGCAGTGCCTCAAGGGGATGTATGTGTTAAAGCAAATGTCCAAGTCAGAGCCTCCGCAGTTCCTGCAGACTTTCTCTGCAGGGCTCCTAGTATAACTTCTGCAGGAGTCGATGTGAGAGCACAGCACGGGATCCCCCGCTGGATCGCCATTAGTAAGTGGGGGGGTGATGAAGCTTCTAACACGCGACAGATGCAAAAAATGAAGAAACAAAAAACAAGATAAATATCTCTGGTTGAAAAAGCCGAGCCATTAACGTAGAAGACGCCCACAAAGATGCCATGAGATTTTGTGGTGAACCGAGCCAACGCTGTTGTCGATGTGCTGTATCCAAAATCATGTGATCTCCATGAAATAATTAATATGTTACATCCTGCCTCCGCCAGCTGCACCACCCCTCACCTGAATCCTGCCAAGAATTTGTCGTTGTTGTGAACACGTTTGAGCAGAGAACTCCCGCTGTGTTGTGTTTAAGGCAAACTGCGGAGAAAGTCCGGACCCAATTCTCAGGAGTTCCTCTGCAGGACAAACAACTTAATTCAGTCAGGAACAGAGTGACTCTCCCCATTGGGGAGTTCACTTGTTTGAGGTTTAACTTGAGTTTGATCATCGTTTGGTCTGATTCAATTTCATCCTGTCGTACACTGTGGGTGTAACATACTGTATATCAGCTCCTGTTTTGATGTATGAGGAAATACAAGACCAAGAATATGGCTTCTGGGAAGGCTGCGTGTGTACGGCTGATTTTTCTCTCTCTGTATTTAAGAAGCAGAGGTTTCAGTTCCAAGGTTTGATGATGTGTGGTGTTCTTTGCTGTTGAAAAATTGATGGAGCTAAGATGCTATGTAGTACAACCACAGAAGGCTGAAGAGCTGTTATGTGTTTGGTATTTATTCTTTTGAAAGTCACTTTGTATTGAACCTCAAGGTTCCAACACCTCAATTACACCAGGAGTGCTTGTTTGCAAATCTAACAAACAATCCATGTTGATGGTGATCATGAGCTCTTTATCTTTTTGTCAACAAACTTGTTGGTGTAAAGAGTCTGTTAAGTTGTTTTTTCTAAAATGTGAATACAGAATACAATTCCACAGCAAGTTCTGCATGAGCCATATGATGCACTCGGGGTCCCCCCCATCCTTTTCAAGGTTACATTTTGATGTGGTGTTTTATGAGTTCTGCTCGCCGAACTAAACTTGGCAACGTGTTAGCTTCCGTGCATAAAAGTCAACTCTTCACTTTCTAGATCTGCTTGTTCACCTGAGGACGATTTGTGCCCATTTTATGTGTGAGTATGACTTAACTTCCAGGCTGCTGGTGTTTCAGCAAGAAGCCGCCATCTTGGTTTGCTCTTTCTGTCCATTCTGTCCGTTTGCTGCCGAGCTTCACCCCCGTCTGTCAAAGAGTTTTATCCAGACAGAGAATCAGGAAGTCAGTTTAATTCCGTGAGTGAGTCTAAAACAGAGACGACACAATGCAATACTTAAATATGGAATTCAGTTGATGAAGATGCTGTTTTTTAATAACATTCAGATACGTTGATTAATGTCTCTGTTATGGTATTAAACTCCAGTATTAACCACCAAAACTAAACACACACAATCAAAGTAATATCTGGATAAATCTTGACTGACTGCATGACTTTGTTTTTTTGTTTTTTAACATAACCTGCCAGTTAAATTCTTCTCTCTCATTTCCTGTGACTAATATGACTAAAACCATTTATAACTCTGTGTTTTTGGTGAATCACTGGTGTTTAAGCTCTGCCATGTCTCTCACTGCATGTTTTAATGTTCTCAATGAACTGACTCATCCGTTTCATCACTTCACTGGGACTCATTTTCCTCTCTGCAAAAAAAACAAACAAAAACGAGCAAATCAACCCATCTGTTGAGGATCTGTCAGCTTCACTCGAACGTGTTAGTGTCCTTCAGAATCTACTTCATTCTAAAACTGTTTGGAAATGGGACTTTGAGTGGGTATCACATCTTTTTGTCATCTAGCTTCTGGCTCATTTCTTAACGCGGATCAGTTTACTCGCTCTTGAATTAATAATATACTCCCCTTAAATTTGTCACGCATCGCATGTTCATCACTGAAATGATAGATTGATAGAAGACTTGATTTGCTCGAATGTTTTCGGAGGTAAACATTTGTTTTGAGCAGTCAGATGTCAAGAGTTTATATATAATTCACTGACGTCTCACTTCGGGGATGCGAGAAGGGAGACGGAATTTTCTACGACACAGGCTAAGTTCAGTGTTTCTGCAGTCAGAGGTAAATCTGATGGAGGAGAGAAAAGCAGGCCTCTGAATGTAAATGAGCCAATTTAACAAGCAGGTAGTTGTACTGCTTTGGGACCAGTTAGTATCTGATGCTGGTGTCTCTATTTTTGGTGAATTACCATCTGAGTTCAGTGATAAGGCAGCCGCATAATTGCCAATAAGGTGGGTAATGCCGTTTCTAAAAGTGGAGGGAGCTAAATTGTTTTTGGTTTAGGAAATGTTTGACTGAAATGAGTGCGTGCGTGTGTGTGTGTCTGTGCGCATGTGTGTGTGTGTGTATATGTGCAGAATTACATATGTTCCAGCAGAATATCTAGAAGAGTACAGAACTAGCTTGGAGCAGGCTAAAGATGATGTCTTCTCCGGAACAGCTCCAGCACCAGTTCCAGCTCCAAAGTACGTCCACCGCTCTCCACCACTGGAACACATTAACTTTATATTAGTGCTTTGCTCGACATTAAATGTCTAAAAAACTGCAAAGCTATGTTTTTTAATCGTGCAGTGTTTCCATGCATATTCACCTGCAAGCATGACTCAATAGCACTACTTGTGGCCAAAAACATCATTCATTTTGAATCATTCTAATTTTCCCATTATAATCTATTTAGAGATATTCCTAATCTCCCTGAGCGTGAGGATGGAGAGGGAGAGGAAAGTGCCTCCTACAGCAACTGGAACCAACCCAGGAAGTGAGCACTTACACTTTGTATCGCAGCTTTAATCTGCTTTGGCCAACACGACGTGGCTTACAGAATCAGATCAGAACCAGAGTCTCAGCAATGAGATTCAAAAATGACACCAGTGTATTTCTCAGAGTGGAGCTGTTCAGGGAGCCAGGCAAGTCCCTGGGCATCAGCATCGTGGGAGGACGAGGGATGGGCAGCCGCCTGAGTAATGGAGAGGTGATGAGGGGGATCTTTATCAAACACATCCTGGCGGACAGTCCTGCTGGACAGAACGGGACCCTGAAGACTGGAGACAGGATAGTGGAGGTAAAGGAATCTGAGGGGGTTAGAAATTTAAACCCCCTCCCCTCAAGCATGAGTTTGATGCAGATGTTTCTGGTGCCTGTCCAACTCTTTTTGTCTCTCATCTCTTTGTCAGGTGGATGGAGTGGACCTAAGAGACGCTAGTCACGAGGAGGCAGTGGAGGCTATACGCAGAGCAGGCAACCCCGTCTCCTTCTTGGTACAGAGTATTATTCACAGGCCCAGGGTAAGTCTGTATAATAGCGTCAAACTAATTCTTAGTCTCTACTCATCATTTTATCTGAAAGGTCACAATTTCCCCACTCTAGACCTTTTTTTCTACTCATGTAAAAGCTAAGTGTTACTGCACAAGCCACTTAGGGCACTTTCAAAAACTCAAACATATAATATACGACCCCCCGTAGTGTCACGTTTGCTCTCAAACGTCAAAGCCAATCCTTTACAACAACGACAACAATCCCTACCTGAAGATATTTGCGAGTTTGAACCTTAAAGTGCGACGCTCGTTGACAATCTTTGTGTCAACAACATAGTTTGTTGTTTGAACGTGTCCTCAGGCTTTTAAAAGCTTGACTAAGTAAGTTTCTCGCTGGGGCTTCTCCAGGCTTTGCTCCAGTGTCACATCTCTTCACAGTCAATCGCTTTACATGCATTACTATCTGTGACATATCCCCGCATGCTTTTCTCAACAGTCTGGTCATCTCATTAAGCCTTGTAGCAACTCATTCTGTAAGAAGGGGAAAGGCAAATATTGAATATTGGACTTCAGGTGCAAAAGTGCCTCGATCGCCACCTGCTGGCTGACTGCAGTATAGGTCATTAACAAAGAGTACACATAAAATGTAGCTCAAAGACAGTTTCTGTCTTCTATCACACTGACGTATGTTATATTAATTTTTCTGAGGATGTTTTAATTACGTATTTGATGCTACGAAAACAGGGTGAAACGTCATAATCGACAACTGACTCACGATTGGTTGAGTGTGTGTAAGGGTGGGATGTCGATATCACATCTACAGACCCCGACTCTGGCTCCAAATGGCGTCTTCCGCACAAAATGGCATCTGTACAAACAGTTAAATACATAACTTAGGTTAGAAGAGGCGATTGAAACCACCTTTTTGTTTATAGTTTAACTTGGAATGGAAACTGCAGTAAATGACGACCTAACTCTTGTCAAGAGAGTAAAAAAAAAACATATTTTCTATTATTTCAAACATTTTACATAAGTTTTCTTTATGTCCCCTGACAAGGCCAAGTGTTAAAACTAATTTTACACATTGTGAGTTGCTTCAACCTCCGTCTTTATTCCCCCACACTGCTTTCCCAGCCTGAGTCTATATGTAGCCCAGCTCCACCGCCTGCTTTAGAGAAACACAGCTCTGCTTTCACATGCATGCCGCATCGCACATGTCAGGTAATCTGTCTCCCTCTCTCGGTCTCTCTCGTATTCCTGTTGCATCAGCCCTCCATTACACTTCATCTTTGTTGCATTATCTCTCCTGCCTCGTCTCTCAGCTGAGTCTTTCGCTTTAACTGCATCTTTGATGATGTGCATGTAATACTGACAAACTGAAATCGGAGATTCCACCTGGGAGAAAAAGAACTGAAAGCTTATTTTAATATCCAGACATTTGTTAACGGCAACACTGACATGAGTCACAATGTTTTTATATTTGAATCAAAAGTGGTAAATCCAATTTTATGACAGGCAAACAATAGAAAAGCAAATATGGAAATGATTTGTGTATCTGTGTTGAGACCAAAAGTCACTGATATTGAGTTGCAGCTTCTCAGAAATTCACGAGAATAAACTGAATAGTTTGGAAAATATCGCTTTGATTAGACGATATCTCTGAGTGCTTGAGGCAGGTCAGTGGTGTCGTTTTAAATGCAGCCACTGGGGGCCAACTAGGGAGCATAATAGCATATCCTCGCTGTTTCCCTTGAAGTTTCAAATCCTCCTCTTGTAAGCAGTGAATAATCTCAAGGTAGCCCGGAGGAATCTTTGAAACATTTTGTTAAACTATTTCAGAGAAAGACGCTTTGCTCTGGTTTTTACTGATACAGAGGAAAATGCTGTCCTCAAGGAAACTGCTTGCTTTAATGGTTCCTCATTTAAATAAAACCTGAGGTGGTTTTGTCCTCCGTGCAACCCCCCCACCACTCCTCGGTTTTTTTTCCCTTCCCGGATGGCCTCTGATTCAGTTTTGTCCCAAAGAGTCAGCCGTCATATTAAATATCCGTCATGTTTTCAGCTTGTTGATCCTGTGTGTGTTGCTTTCCGAAGCCGCCCCTGCCCTTTCCGCAGCTAAATAGCCGCCGCGGGTTGAGCCTTTGCTGCACTAATCAACCCTACTTAGCACCCGCCCTCCCTCAGGTTAGAAAGCTACCCCGTGTCTGTGTCCGCCTGCTTTACCTTGTGTGTGTCTTTCACTTGACCTGTGCTGCTTTTATTTGTGCAAATTGTGTTAACTATGTATGAAGAAGAGAATGGAAACGTGTGTTGACTTGCAGTGAAATCCAAATATTTAGAATCCAAATAGAGATCCGTCCAATTAAAATGAGTCTTAGCGATCTGGAAGTAAAAGTACTTTCTTAACGATTTAGCCAGTTCTACTTTGTATGTGTTCTTGCATGTTTTTGTCACTTTCTCCTCCTCTGATTCTATACATTTATTTATATCTCTTTCAGGCATAAAATTATATTTAGACATTTTCCTGAAGTTTTACGGAGGAGCTGTAAGTGAGAAATGTCCAAGTCAGATGCTCTTGACATTTTCCAGAGCTTTTTCTATTAAACTCCCTCGTAAAATATCAAGGAAAATGTCCAAGGAACCACATCAACACATTTTCAAAATTTTCACTATAGCACCCAAAGCTTGCTCCAATTAAATATTACTAAGAAGAAGAAATCCTGAAGCGGTGATGAAGAATTTACACCTCACTCTTATTGATGGTGACCCTTAATGTCAAGCTTCAAGTGATTTTACTGTAGAATTTTTGTAAAATGAAAAGGGAAAATGTCCTAGATTTTAATTATAGCACTCAAAACTTGGTCTGTAAAAATATTAATTAAAAAAAATCACTAAGAGGCGACAAAGAATTTTCACTTCGCTCTTTTTCAGGGTGACCTTTACTGTCTGCATGTCAAGTTTCATTTTACTGTTGAGATTCAAAGGGAAAATGTTTATACTAGCACTCAAATCAAGTAAAATCATTGCAGAGGCTTCTACTGTGAATGTGTATTTTATTTTCCATCGCTCCTCAGCTTTGAAGGCACAATTCTTCCTAATTATCCCTGAAACGTTGTCCAAAGTGTCTCACTGACAACTAATGTAAGGAAGACAACTTGATAAGGCGGGAGCCGTCAACACAGATGCTGCTATTATGTGACAAGAAACGAGAAAATACAGTTTCTTTTTCTTTTCAAAATTGCCAGAATTTCTGGCAAAACCTTTTAAGATCAATCACTGGGAAGAATTGGTCAAGCTTGGATAGATGTGTGGTGCTGGCCAAGCTTCTTCAGTCAACACATCAATGTTTTGGCTTGTGTGTTTGTGTGTGCGCACGTGTGTGTGGTATCGCTAAAAGAAACTATTTAAGAAATATGGATTTTCCCTCAGTAGTAACATTTATAAGCAGATGGCTTTTCATGATAGAGCATATGCTGCGTGAAACTGGTTTTAGTCATTCCGAACACTTCTGACTTTGAATGAACTTATTAATATTTATGGGATTACTGTTTTTGCAGTATGCAGCAGAACGATACAGTATCTTTCAGTATCTGGTGACATTGAAGTGAATATTATGATTTTTTTTCTTCTTCCATACGTGAAACAAATTAATGAGAAATTTCTGATTGTGACCATCTGATGTGGAGAACAGTGATTTACCTTCTTGTCTTATTCATTACAGGCTCTGATAACAGACTCCAGTGAGGAGAGAGCCGCGGCCGTAACCAGGGACAAGGACAAGGTTGGTGTTTCCAGTGATCCTCCGCCGAACGTGTTTATCAGCGTTTTGTATTTGTTGTTCCGAAAGTGTTGCTCACTAGAGTCAGAACCAGGTTTGAAAATAAAACGACTCGAGATACATTTTCAAACCGACGCTGACACGTTTGTAATTTGTGTTGTTTCTTAAAGTTGTCACCCTTTGTCTTTTCTCTGTAGGAGGGTGACAGTCACAGTAGACTTTACCTCCGCCTCTCCCCAACTAACCCTTTCACTCCTACCCCGTTTAAGGTTTGTGGGTCTCTGTGTTGTGCTTTCCTCTCTTTCCTTTCTGTGTATGCCTGTGCAGATGTGTTGATGTACAGCGATGCGGGCCATGCATCGGGTAATCGAACATGCTGCACATGCATATACACCAGAACTCGTCCTAACATCTCCTCCGTCTGCTTCGTGCACTTTTTGTGAAATCAAAGCAACTTTCGTCTTTTGCTGTTTGGATCAATATTCAAAAATCACATATTCGATTTTTGACTATGAACATGCGCTGTATTTTTATATTCAATCAACATTGTGTTGCTCTTATTATTCAGGTAAGTATATTTCAATTATAAATACAAATTGCTTGATAAGTAATTGCATCATTTATTAAATAGTTAAATATTTTTAGCTGAAAACAGGCTGATTTGCCTGATTTAGCTTTTTGCCACGTATTGCTTTTAATTATACCTCAACCAAAACTAACATATTCTATTAAACGTGATGAAGCTTTTAATGAAAACCAAGCATATGGCCCCTGTTGATTACATCAGCAGCTCTCATGTGCCTTCTTATCCCTGTAAACCTCGCATCAAGCCGATTCAAGCTGCAGACTGCAGAGTTAAATTCTTTCTTTCTTCACCTGTAATTTTTCTCTAATAAACTGTTGTCCAACTCCATCTGCGGCGTGACAGCCGGCGAAGCGTGAAGCGGCAAAGGCATCTCCCACCAGCGCTGTCCTCCCCCTGCCAGTGATGCCCCATGTGGGAGAGACTGATACAGACACGCTGACTGAGATTCCTGGCAGACCCGCTGAGGCAGAGGAGGTGAACGAAGAGGAGGAGGAGGAGGATGAGTTTGGATACAACTGGAGTGAGTTCACTTTCTCTGTTTCTTAAGGGTGTAAATTACATTAAATACATTTGTAAATTAATTGAAAATTTGTCAATTAATTTGGGTTTAATTATAAATGAAGCAGGTATTTTTCAAATACGTGCAGTTTAAACGATAAAAAAGTGACGTGTGACCAAGTCTGTGAGTTTAAACTTCTGGTAGTTTCACCTAAATAGAATCAAATAATGAAGACAAATACACTTGCCATGTATGCATTAGCATATCACTGCCACTAGAGGTCCCCCACATTATATGTTATATATTACAAATCCATCCAGTCTGCATAAAGTGTTCGATTCACATCCTGAATGTTGCACCTCATCAAATCCTTAAGGACTCAGTGTCCCACTTAAGCTATTAGCATCCTGCAGATACTGTAACGCCAACTGTAGGATCAACTCTCAGCTTCAAGGAGAACCGGTCACATTAGTCTCAGGCAACCAGCATAAAGGACAGACTTCCAGCCTCTAAACACCTGGGACTACAGTGTGTGTGTCTGTGTGTGTCTGTGTGTGTGTGTTACTTACGGGGGGACAGTGCCCATCCTGTGGGTTTAAGATTGATGAGGTTGGGCCCGGGGAGGTGAGTTGTGGAGATTAGTACAGGACTGATGGTTCAACGGTGGCAGGGAGCCCAGAAAAACATGCGCCCATTGGTCTGAGCAGATATCTAACACACCAGAGACAGGAGAGGCAGAGAAAGAAAGAAAGAGAAGGGACCTGAGTGAGAACAATGGAGACAGGGCCCGAGACAGAAATAGAAGGCGAGGCAAACTGCAGCAAAAACAAATTCAGAAGTCTTGACATTTGAAACTTTTACCATTTACTTTTTGTGCATGTAAAACCCAAACAGCCGCCCCTTTTTAAGCAACATGACATAAACTAATGCTCAACGCCATGATCGAGACAAATGTGGCATTTCAGCAGCATTGTGGGCTTACATCTGTATGACTCCATCTGCCTCTCTCAGAGAACGTGATCCAGCGCTATGGAAGCCTCCCAGGTGTCCTACACATGATTGAGCTGGAGAAAGGCAAGACAGGCCTGGGCCTCAGCCTGGCAGGGAACAGGGACCGCTCTCGCATGAGTGTGTTCGTGGTGGGAATTGAGCCCAGTGGGGCGGCAGGCAGAGACGGACGTATGGTGGTGGGGGACGAGCTGCTTGAGGTAAGTTGTAGTTGTCTTGTGTAGAATTAAATAAATACTTATGTAGCGTGTTTAACTGAGAAATAATGCTGTTTTTTAATTGTTTAGATCAATGGGCAAGTCCTCTACGGCCACAGTCACCAGAATGCATCCTCCATAATCAAGAGCTCACCATCAAAAGTCAAAATCATCTTTGTCAGGTATAAAATACTTTTACTATTAAAGCTTCTATGGACTCATTTCCATGGCAACAGCTGTGAAATTTTACTGTCTGAAAATTATTTCCTTAATAATATGAGTTTGTTCTAGTTTAAGGTAATGCCACTTAAAATCCAGTAGAGGGGGCTATTGTAATTTAACAGATGGTTCTTGTAGTAATATTGAGTAGAAAGCAGTTTCCTCCACAGGTTTGTGGAAATAAGTATTTATTAGGTATTTATTTGTTGATATTGAAATGTATTCATTTTAATTACATATAAATGAATCACCTTTTACACAGGGCCCATGGTGTTTTCAATTTGTAGTGGGGTTTTGTGTAAAAAAAGTTTATATACAGAACAGTATATCAGCTCAGGCTCAGATGTTTTGGCCACAACCCCTCTTCCGAACCATCTACCAGATCACACTACTTAACCCCCCGTTTAAGTCAAATCCCTCTCCCGACCCCCTGAAAGACACACGGCGCACATCGGCTCACATAAATCACGGCTCCGCTGTCACGGTGCAGAGGAGCGACGATTTACAAGAGTTATGACTCTCTGCAACAGGAACACAGAGGCGCTGAACCAGATGGCTGTGGGACCTGTGAGGGAGCATGAGGGAGACACAGTGGAGCCCCACGCTGAGGTACTGAAGACGCTGCTCGGCCACACACGAAACACACACACGCACAAGTGCTCAAACAGACTGACTCATGGGGATGCTGCAGAGTGAAGCTGCAGCTGCATACTAACCAGGAGAGTCAACAAAAAAATCATCTTCGTATTTAATTTCTACCCTGTTTTGTTCCTGAATCGTTTTCCAAAAGTCACCTTGTGTGGTCCTGGAGTTCCCTTCCTCCCATGACTCAACCAGAAACCACAAAACAGTAGTGCAGACACAGTACTGTCCTCCCTCCTGCCAACAGACACGCACACAAGTTATTTACCTCATACTGTGACCAACTACCGTGTGTGTCCCTACAGCTGGAAATGGCGGCTGCTAATGGCGATGCTGAGGCTTCACAATATCTCCATCAAATCATAAAGCTGAAGGTGAGATGGTTTAGACCTCCTACACATGACAATAACACATAGAAAGTCTTGAAAGCAGCGTGATAATGAGGGAGATGCTCACAAAAAAGTCAATGGAGCATTGCGGAGAGAATGAGAAGGAACGCACAGGAGCAGTGGAGTCTGACAAGCTGTCAAGACGGAGAAAAGAGACACGACAATGTCAAGAAAAGGGTGAATAAACAGAAATTGTGAATGGGAGAAGAATGAGACAAAAAGTAAAGGGAACAGATTTTACCACTTGTGGTGTCTGATTCCTGCTTCAAACAATTGAAAATATCACATTTCAATTCGGAAGCAGTGATGTGTCTTTTAAGAACTCAGAGCTCTCCCTATGGGAATATCTCATAACTCAAGATATCTGCATGATAGATACCACAAGAGGTATTGGGGAAAACATGCTATTTTTGATTCAGCAGAACAGACGAAAGAAGAGAGGAAGTGATGGAGAGAAGGGGAATATACCTTGAAAAGCTATAACATCTGGATATGGCGAATTTGGCGATGACAGCGTAGACGCAGCAGATGCATCTTGGCCTTATTATCTTTCTGGACATATAGTCAGATGTGTTTTCAGCAGCTGCTGCAGCGCTTTTATTAAAGTTTTTCTTTCTTCCATAGGACGACGGAGGACTTGGTTTCACCTTCGTCGAGGGAAACACCGAGAGTGGAGAGGAAATCCAGAGCGCATCCGAAGTGGAAGGACACACAGGCAAAGTATGTAGTGAGGCGTCACATAGAAGCAAACAGAGAAAACAATGAATAGTTCCTAACATTTCACTGTGAGTGGTGAATCACTGCTGGGTTAGACAGTTAAACATGGATTATGTTTTTTTTCATTTAATTATCAAATACAATCCCTGTTATTGGTGCTGTAACAAACAAGGTCCAGTGAAGCTAACCTCTACAGATGAGCTCTCCTTCCTCTCCTCTCCGCAGTTGGCCTGCCAGGAAGGGGTTTCCTCAGACGGAGTCCTCGCCAGCCTACCCAGCATGCCTAGCAACACCACAGTCATGTTACCAACAGAGGCAGAAGCCATCACGAGTGAGAATTATTTTCTTGCTTTTGATTAATAAAAACTGATGCTACTTTAATTTCTTAATCAAGAAGATAAATAATGGATCAATAAGCTCAAAGGTTCAGTGTGTGAATGAGAAAGAGAACCTGTGGTAACCTTTAAGTCATAAAAACTCAAATATATCAGACAACTTAACCAATTTCCTGATTTAAAAAATGTATAAATTGCGTTTCTTTCTTTATATCATACCTCAATGCTTCCATTTGCTTCCTCTATTTCAGGTCTGAGTCGCTCCTCCACCCCTTCCACTCTGGCCTCTGACCCGTCGACCTGTCCCATCATCCCCGGCTGTGAGACCACCATCGACATCTCCAAGGGCCGCACAGGCCTGGGCCTCAGCATCGTGGGAGGCTGTGACACACTGCTGGTAGGAAACAGCAACAAAAGAAAATCTGCTAATGAGGCCGGATCACTTTACTAATAAGCTGATGTGAAGGGGATTCTGTTACTTTTCCTTTTTAGTCAAGTTCAACCTTAAAAACACCAACTTTGCTAATAATTGTATTTGCTCTTTTTAAAAATACACTGTAAATAAATGACTATTTAGAAGTGACGTGACTGTACTGTCACACCCAGGATGCCACCCACTTGGAATCCTTGGTGGTGGTAGAGCGCAGGTTTGAAATAGCCAGGGCGGCTCAGGAATGTAGAAATTATGTTGTCACAGTCGTCCTCCTCCTCCTGCGCTCCTCTGCCGTCCTCTCCTCGGCCCATCTATTCTGTCTGCTCAGTCAGGCTTGGGGGAGCAGCTCTTTGTCTGGCCTCGGCCGCAGCAGACAATATCCCGCCCTGGAATGTAACCTCTGAACCCCAAATGACACACTGGAACGCAAGGAAAACACACACTGGAAGTCAGGAGCATCACACACCGAGAATCCAAAATAATGTCAAACGCAGAATAAATCTACATCATTATGAAAATCATTCTCTTATCTCCCTCTTATGCCCTTTGAATAAACAGCGCTCACCTTTTTTTCTGATCTCCTATTTCTCTCTGCTCTTCTTCCTCTCTCTCTCCAGGGGGCCATCATTATCCACGAGGTTTATGAAGAAGGGGCAGCCTCTAAAGATGGCAGGCTGTGGGCAGGAGACCAAATCCTGGAGGTGCGCTGTGGAATAATAAGCATCACTTATGACCCAGATAAAAAAAAAGAAGGATTTTCGATAACTGAGACGTGGCTGCCTGAGGAGCTTCGGCATGAAAGCTCTGGTTTCAAAGTTCAGTCAGAGATCAAATAGTTTGATGCTTCAAAAACTCTGGGAAACGATATCAAGTTTTACCATTTGGGGGAAAAAAATATCACTATATATAAATACAACACTTAAAACCAATGAGACAATATACTGAAAGATGAAGTGAAAGGTCAGGGGAAGTGACCTTTAGTATAAATCTTGTATGTGTACTGAGGATTGACAAGTTAAGTATCCTAGCTCAACTTGGATTTGCCCTCCATGTGACCTCATGCTTTGTCACAGAGGGAGGGCCGGGGTGGAGCTCAGGAGTTTAGTCATGGTAGCTCGATCAGTCGACCGGAGCTGAAAGACACACACACACAACCTTATGACTTAATTACCCTCTACTATTCATTTCTGTCCTGGAGCCAATTGGCTGTGTTTAGAAAATAGGGTCAGAGGAAAGTGAAAGAAGCGGTTTCCCAGTCCACAGTGACGCCATTAGCCACTATGGGAAAAAGCCTTTGCACGTCCATGGTGAAAGCTAATGGGGTATTTCCTCTGTTTAATGTGGTTTTAAAAAAAAAAGGGTCCTTGAACGAGTCCTTAAAGTTGAGAGTTGAGCTTCTCACAGTTTTGTGGTGAGGCTCCTTCCCTTTACTCAAGTGTTCCAACATCACCCTGTGGTTTAAATATCGTGACCCAGTGTCCAGTTGTATCAGCACGTTTTCTCCCCTGTGGAAATGTGAGCTCAGTATTTTTGCATTAAATGAGGCTGTTAGCACTTTTGACAGTTCCCTCCTGCTGCTTCCATTTTCGGAATATAAAAGAATAAGGATTTACTGCTTTGCTAATTTTCCCCCCAAATGAAAATGTGCTCAAGCAATTTTGTTCACATGAATTAAAAATGGACCTTAAATCTGTTGCTTTTCCTTGGAACAGCGTCAATATCGCTGCAGCACACTAGCCCGTAACGCCGTGTCTGTTCCAACAGGTGAACGCTATCGACCTGCGTGCAGCCAGTCACGATGAAGCCATCAACGTGCTGCGGCAGACCCCGCAGAGGGTCCGGCTGACGGTCTACAGGGACGAGGCTCAGTACAAGGAGGAGGACCTGTGGGACTCGTTCACTGTGGAGCTGCACAAGAAGCCCGGTCAGGGTTTGGGCCTGAGCATCGTGGGTAGGAGGTGAGAGAGATTTATCATTAATAACGCTGCTGCTTCTTGTGTAGTCAGCACTTTACTTATTAATGTACAGAAGAAGCTTTTTCACGATGCTGAACCAGGTTTACATGTGGAAATAGTTGAAAAGCTTTTTTTGATTAAGCTACCAATGCTATGTTGATTATTAAAAATAAAGTTAAATGGTTAAAAATGTGTTTGCTGGACTATGTTATAATGTACTCAGTAGATTGTTGTAATAGCCTGCTGGTGATTTCAGTGTTAATATATAAAAAGTAATGAGAGTATACAACCAAAACTTCTGCCAAGGTCCAACACTCACCAAATTTCACACATTCATGATCCATACATTATTTCCCGGTGAATCAGTGAAAATGTTGAAATGTTAGAGAAAGTGATAAAACAATCCTGGATCCACCACAAAATCATCTGTGTTCTTTCTTGGCCCACATCCCACCGTTACACCACGTTTCAAGAAAATCACTTCGGTAGTTTCCATTTAATCCTGCAACTAACAGAGATGACAACATAACCTCCTTGGTGGACGTAAAGTAAAGCCAAAGAAGAACATGACTACCTCGTACTGTGAGTGACGAAGTACAGTAATTAGGAATTGCTCTGTTTTTCCTTTTTTTAACGCAGATCGCGGGATGAGAGGTAACCAACATTAAAAACCTTTACATTTAAATATAGAGTAGAGAAATGAAATAGACTAATTCATAGAAAATCAGATGTAGTCTTGAGGCACTCCCCTTATACCTCAACTTAACTGGGTTTAGTTTCCAGTGAAATGAATTGTGTGTATTTAGTATTTGGTGGTAACATCCCTCCTTTCTCACGTAGACGTAAAATTTATCTTCCTGGATGGATTTCTAACAAACGTTACAGAAGTGACAAGTGAGTCTGCCCCTCACCGGTTCTGTTACAGTCATTTCCAGTGGCAGCAGTGACGGCCAGTACCCCAGCGTTCTGCCACGGACACGGCTGTAACCACATGTTCGCTGTGTGTACGAACGTGGCTCCCGCCGCAGCTGTGGAGGATGATTTAAAGTGTTCTAGGCTTCAAGGCTAGTTTATGCTTCTGCGTCACGTCGACGCCGTAGCCTGACGCGCGCCTCCCAAAAATCCGCAAGCGCTGTGATTGGTCCGCTCAGCACGTGAGTTCCGGCAGTTGCTTTTCCGGTCTTTCTTCCTCGTCGTAAAAACCACCTCCGCAAACGTTTTCTCTGTAGCTTGCGCTTCAACGTTTGCAATATAAGCATTTGTTCTTCAGTATTGATGAGCTCCAACAACAAACACAGCTGCTCCACCTCGGTCGCCATTGTTTACTTTACGGAAGAAAAAGCGAGAATTCGGCTATAACCACACAAACACACAGCTACACCCCCTAGCGTCATGGCGGTGAATTGCAGAGCAACACGTTCCCTCGACGCAGAACTTCGAGAACGCTCAACGACTGCGTCACGCCGTCGACGTGACGCAGAAGCATAAACTAGGCTTGGAGCAGGACCTGAGCTGGAATTGTCTTACACATAAAATCATCTCAGGCTTTTATTCTGGTAGAGCATTTATGAGTTAAGGGACATGTGGGAAAAGGCCTGCTGGTCGACAGGCTGACAGTTTGCTTCTGCTCAGTGTGTGATGACTGATTTCACCTTAGGGAGAAGCCCCAAGAATGGCTTAAGCAGGCCATACAAGCACATGCACCATCTTTGTCTACCCTTTAGTCTGCAGTCTCTGGATTTGACTCGTCTGTGTCGTAGTAACTGCAGGACAACAGCCCCGAGTTTGGGTCAGAGGTTAAACAGTTTGTACAGCAGTAGGCAGATCAACTTTTTACGTAGTTGTAATCGATTGCCTCGGTTGCAGCTGTTCTGCTGCACAAGTGGAAAAAAACTCAACTAAAATGCTCAATAGGAAGGAAAAAACGGCAACATAACTGACAACCGAAAATCCCTCGGCTGGATCGGAAAGAGCAAGCTTGCAGTTTGTGGTGAGGAGCTGTGACAGCCAAGTATCTCTGGCAGTGGGGACCAAGTGGGATCGAGTTGCTCGCCTCCCGGCTTTTTGTTCGTCTTTATCCACGTGGAGACTGGCACCTCACATATGCTAAAGTCTGCAGTTGAGATGTGCATTTGGGAAAAAAAAGACGCAGGCCGAGGATACGTCAACTTCTCCCAGAGGTCTTTGCTCAGAGCAAGCAGAAATATTGACGACGTTGACCTTTGACTGTATTTCATGTTACGTCTCAAACTGTGGTGGGACAGACAGTATGAAGTGTAGATTTAGGTTTCCCACAAGCAGCCACTGTGTCAAATAGTAGAGCATCAAAACCAAAATTGGTAGAGGGACATGTGATAATCATCACAGCTAACTTTGGAAGTTATAGACAACCACCATTCAATCATTCAAGCTAAAATATATACTCTAAAAATAACTACGTTTAGTTACAGGCCAGATTATGTCTTTTCTAAACAATATATAGTAACGTCTCAGTTGTGTCTGGCTGCAGAATGTCCACAATAAGAATATACACACGATCTAAGATGGAAAACACATTTATCGAGGTTACACACACTCTTAGCTATTAAATGTTCCATTTCCCCAGTTGTGTGTTAGTGGTTTCACAAAAAAAGCATAAGCCACAATTGTGCAGAGGTCCAATGGAAAAATGGAAACGGCTGGATCAATAGTGTATCATCAGCTGTAAGTGTGGAGGAAAAGGTCAGATGGTAGAGAAACGTTCAGTGTGATTCTCAGTGATACGGAGGCACAAACAGTAATCGAGAATTTTGGTTCTACCCCTCCCACCAGGAATGACACAGGAGTGTTTGTGTCCGATATCGTGAAAGGAGGTTTGGTGGAGACCGATGGTCGACTGACGCAGGGTGACCAGATCCTGTCGGTCAACGAGGAGGACGTCAGGTCGGCCACTCAGGAGGCCGTGGCTGCACTGCTGAAGGTAAATCTATCATAAGCTGCTTTCAGACACGCAAAAACAAAAAAACACTGCTCTCTGACGTGAAATGTAAACGCCATGTCCTTCCTCCTGCACTGCTACCCTCGCCGGAATGTTACAGACATGTTTCCGATGTGGTGAACGCTTCTGACCCGGCCAATCTCCTGCTGCGTTCTTCATATATAAATAAAACAGTGTGTGACCACAACATTTTAAATACGTCTTTAATGTTGCAGTGCTGCGTGGGGCCTATAAATATGGAGGTGGGGAGGTTTAAAGCTGGCCCGTTCCACTCTGAAAGAAGGCTGTCTCAAACTAGTCAGGTAATTTACCTCTCCTCTAACGTCTGTCATTTCAGTAACAGCAGAAAACAGCAGAAAAAGAAAATAACATCCCTAAATGCTTTCTGTTTCAGATGAGTGAAACAGGCATCTCCAAGGTGGCCGCCTCTCAGTCGTGTTCAGACTCTGGAAGCCTTCCTGTTGACCCTGACAAGACCAGCCTGGAATGTCAGGAATGTAAGTATCCTACTTTTGCGAGCATAAAGTAAACAAGCAGACATTAATCCACAAGCCATGTGATAAAACAACAACAATCCATTCAAGCATTGTGTTTGTTTTTACTTCCTCTCAGCTCCAGAGCATCAGGACACCAGAACAGTGGAGTTCACTAAAGGTCCCAGTGACTCTCTGGGGATCAGTATAGCAGGCGGAGTGGGGAGCCCTCTGGGTGATATACCCATCTTCATCGCGATGATGAATCCTGTCGGGCTGGCTGCTCAGACCCAGAATCTAAAGGTACGAGACTTCCTGCTCCCTCTCAGCACCAAAACACAAAACTAGCCAGAGTGGCAAATTGCTCACACTCATAATTTTCAGTCCTCTAAACATGCCAGATTTTTTACCATCAAGATCCATGAATTATTTTTCCCTAACAATAAAAAAACGTCCAAACCCTCTCGTTACGTCAAAGAAATTAAAAACAAATTCCTGGATCTGCAGTCTGACAAAATGTAATGGCTTCTTCCTGACCCACGCCACATCCTTCCACCAAGATTCGTGGTAAATCAGTATTTTTGCGTAATCCTGCTAACTCACAAAAAACACAACCTCCTTCACAGAGGTTAAAAAACTGCATTCCAGCCATGCCAGTCATTTTTGTGTGGTATTTAATGTGAATGTCAATCCCTCACACTGGAGTTATTCCCACTCACTTGAGTCAGTAGAATTTTATATTGTCCCAAAGGTCAAGAGCCGGCCGCCTGTAGCAGTGACCTTTGCAGTTAAACGACAGAGAAACCAACAATTGTGTCTGTGTGCGACGCAGACACAATTGGACAATGGCCGCCGCGACCGTCGATCGTAAATCCCCCCCACTCCTGCATTCGCATTAATAAGTCTGCAGAAGGGCTCATTGAAATGAATAGGAGGGGGGGATCTTGAATCGTATATTCATGCTGCATTGCCTTCTCAGCCAGAAAGAGAGATGAGAACTCCACATAATGAAATTACTTCGCTCAGCACAAGCATAGTCGTGCATTTGTAATTTGTGGTGGTGAATTACATTTTCAAGTACGAGCAGCCGATGAATCGGATCCTCTCATTGTTCAGTTTGTCACTGAAGTCAAAGAGAAAATTAATTGTTACTAACATTTTCTGAGCTGGTTCTGAACTTTCACTTGAAAAGCCTGAAATCAAGCTCCTCTGCAGAATCTGAGAGGTTGTTTTCCTTCCTTTTTTTTAAAAACTGTATAAAACTCTCACTTTTCCAGATTGGGGACCGAATTGTCAGCATCTGTGGAACCTCTGCTGAAGGCATGAGCCACGCGCAGGCCGTCACTCTGCTCAAGAATGCCACGGGAACAATCCAGCTGCAGGTCTCGCTGGACTCTCTCTCACACACACACACACACACACACACACACACACACACACACACTTTCCCTCACCTTTTCTGTTCCTATCAGATAAAAACCCAGAGACACAGTTAGTCGAACCAGCGACAGACTTTGAAAAAAAAAAAAACCTTCCGTCCTTCCTTCGCCCTCCAGCGCTACCACCACATGCAGTCTTTTGTCTTGTCAGTCAGTCCAGTCTACCGTAACCATAACACTGTGTGGTTGTTGGTGCACCTGTAGGTGGTAGCAGGTGGCGACACAACCGTGACGGGTCCCTCTCAGGAGCAGGCGGCCGGAGGACTCACACCCAGCTGCATTTTCCAGGATGACATAGGGTATGAGCTGGTTATTTCACATTAAAGTGTCATAAAATCCATCCTAACCCTGTGTTAGTCTGTGGCTGCATCCATGTGACTACGTTTTCGTGACAAACAAAATTGTTTCCATGCACATATCTCTTATCACGTGACCATTCACATACGCTGGGCATGTGCGTGCCGGTGTAAACAGGAAGTAGATTGTCTGTGCTGCACTTGCAGAAAATACAACCAACGAGAAACAACAATCGGGAAAATTTATGAGCAGGGATTTATTTCTCTTGGGCCGAATAAAACGAGGTGAATCTGTTACTGACAGTAACTGTTTACAACATTTTTGCCCTCACTGCTGGTATTCAAGATGCGACTGATAAAAATCAAACAGGAAGAAAATGCGGGCGACTGTTTCCAAACATCTCAGTTAAACTCTAGAGTTTTCTAAGTTAAACAGAGCCAGCAGCATTTCCACATTTGTCTCTCTCTTCTGTAAAAGAGCAGCTTGAATGTATAAACTATTAAACTAGATTTTAAATAGTTTTATTTCTTGAGTTTTGCCTCAATGCTGATCATTCTATGCCAGTAGTGTATGAATGCCAGTATCTGTTGACAGTTTTAATAATGTATATAAGTGTTTCTCTCTTCCCATCAGCCCACCTCAGTATAAGAGCATCACTCTTGACAGAGGACCAGACGGACTTGGTTTCAGTATAGTCGGAGGGTATGGAAGCCCTCATGGAGACCTGCCTATCTATGTGAAAACCGTTTTTGGAAAGGTAAGTTGAGAAAGTTGAACTCACATATCGGGTGTTGCTATTCGAAATTCTTCATCCGTGTGTTTTGCGTGCGTTCAGGGAGCAGCGGCAGAGGACGGGCGTCTGAAACGAGGAGACCAGATCATGGCCGTTAACGGGCAAACCCTGGAAGGCGTCACTCACGAGGAAGCTGTTGGCATCCTGAAAAGGACCAAAGGAACTGTCACACTCACTGTGCTCTCATAGACACACAAATACAAACACACAGATCTCACACCAGCAGTATTTCACGACTGGGCGATTGTGTTAAAAGCACCAGATGTGCGACACAATGCAAACTGACATATGAACAACCACACAATGATAATAATGAAGTTGCTCAATGTAGCTTTGAACACTGTGATCCATGAAGCCTACTACATGTAGACTTGCAGACAGTATATTTCATGAGAAACTTTTATCACTAAACCAATCACACAAATCATGCTGAAATAATTACATCTATTTTTAATATCTTCTTATTTCAATTAGTCATCATGATGCAAACAGTATTAGAAACTCCTTGGCTCTGGATTGTAATATTCACTGGACACTTGCAAGATCTTCATTTTTAAACAATAGAAGCAATATCAGAATATTTCTCCGGAGCAGAGGTCTATTTCTTTTTGCAGTCTGAGGTTCAGCTCCCACTAAACTCAGAGCATGAAAGTATTCTTTCCTTTAGGCAATTAACAGATTACAGGACCACGCTAATGAATGTATTAGCTGAAAACAGCATTGTTTGCCTTTTACGCTGCTCTGCTTTTGCTTCTTCATCATACTTTGAATTCCCTGAAAGGCTGATGCTGCTGTAACTGGTTTTACGTAACTCCAAGTCACTGTTGTTTTAGCGAACGCAGCCTAGAGAGCATTTCTCCGCGTGCTCGAGGCTAAACGCCCGCTATTGTAAATACACTGTGTGTTAGCACATTTCTGAAGGGAAAGATGTGAAATCCTTGGAGTGTTGATTTTTTTTTTTGTACACACTTGACTAGGTGAGGAACGGTGAGCGTGTGCATGTATGTGTGTGACCTATTCACTGAGATATAGTGCTGCTAAAGCTGATATAATGGTATTACGTCACAGTACTTGGATTTTTAAAGTATTAATTAATGTTCTGCTATTTAGGTTGAAATGAACGAGGGGTTCTTGTTGTCAGACGGATTATGTAACTGATCTGAGCTCATTTTGACCATGTTGTTTACCCAAAAACAAAGACATCCAGTGTTTTAGGACGTCCTGAAGGATTTGTTGTGTTGTCTAGTGTCAGAGAAAGTTGACTGTTTTCTTTCTCATCACCTTAAAATGTGGCTCTAGTACTGTCAAGGGGACGGTATTGGATTTATTCACACTGAATTAAATAAAAGTGACCTTTGGATTCCATCAGCTTTGCATTGTCATTTTCCTCAATGAGTTAACAGGAGTCAAAACATGTCATTAATAAATCCTCTGGGAAAAACCAGCCCATCAAGCCCTCAGCCAAATGACCGTAAACTCTTAACACAACCATATAATGTTATTAAATGAATAATAGTCATTGAGCATTGTAAAACGCAGGGCAACTTTCCAAGTGCACCAGCTTTTGGTCACTCTCAGCAGCTTCCTTGTGGAATGCTCGGGCTTTGGTACAGGACACATCACATCTGCCATACATCACTTAGATCACTTTTTTTTATCTGGGAGATAAAAGCAATTTACAGTCGCCGGAGGTCACATTTAAATGAAAGTCAGAAGCTGGAGCAAGCTGAAATTAAATGTGCAGCACTTGAACAAAGATTTATAGATAAAAGATAATAAGGCGGCTTTATAGGCACTTGGACAAAGATTAGTAGATAGAGGGTAGAAGGCTGTGTGGAGCAGCACGTATGGTCTTGTTTGAATAGACCCTCTGTTGTCTCCAGAGAAAGCTGCATAGATAGAATATGGCTGCTTATCAGTCTGACAAGCACAGCTGCTTTACAACCTGTCGCATGCTCAGTCCGACGCATGACGTCCATACGTTGGTTTACGGCAAACATGGCGGCTACCAATTCATCACACGTGTCATTCAGGACCTTTGAAGTCCTGTGTCTAATGGGTTCTAGTTAGCCACCAACACTGCAGCGCCTTTATAGCGGAAGCACACTTGCTCAACTCCTTCACCCTGAGGTCGAGACGCAGCGGCGTTACCTCTAGCAGCTGCTGCTTCAACCACAAGCTTGCTGCTGACTGCACTCGACAGCTGAGCGTCCACCGAGCACCTGTTCGCGTTGGTCCCAGCGGTTCAGAGATTAAAACCCAGGCCTCCCCCGCAGGTTCGGGAGACGCCGGCTGGTTTACACGAGGCCTGTCTGCACAGGCTCTTAGATGTGAGATCAGATGTTGCCACTGGGAAGTCATGCTCGACTTCAATGTGGGCACCTGGTGTCACTTTTCAGCGACAATGGCGTCAAAGCAACATCCCATAAAAGGGCGGAACAGGGACTTTCCCATTAACAAGACGTCTTGACTGCGTAAATATCACAGACGCTTTATACGTTCTGCTTTATACAAAACATCACCTGCATAACTAATGCATTTGACCCCACAGCCTCAATGAAATAAGCTTGTTGCTGCCTGTTTAAACATTTAAGGGCCAGTATCATCGTGCCTCATGCCAGCATCCGCTCTGGCTATTGAGACGCCAAGCAAACTATTTGATAATTGGATCGTGACTCAGCAAACATGCCTAATGGCGCACCATCGAGCCGGTTTGACTGCGTGCACGGGGTTTGCAAATTTTTGGGAAAGAGAGCAAATGGGGACGCAAATGAAATACAGCACTTAAAGGGATAGTTCACAGAAACATTTAAATTCACTCATTATCTACTCACCACTGTGCCGAGGGAGCGAGTGGGTGAAGTGTTTGAGTCCACAAAACACTTTCGGAGTTTCAGGGGTAAAAAGCGTTGCAGCCAATGACGCCGTCAGGAGTCGAATTTGAATGTCGGGGCTTACGGACACTTGGATGACACCACAGGAGCAGTATGAGGCATTTTGTGTTTTATTTTTTTTTATTTGAAGGAGTGGTCAAGGAGTGGGGTAACTTCAATTGTACTGGATTCGGCTGCAACACTGTTTAACCCTGGAACTCCTGAAGGTGTTTTGTGCACACTTCACCCACCCCTCCTCCTCCCGACTACCTGATCGGCTTCATAGACTCTCCAACGTCATGGAAAAGAGCCTGCTATCTTTTGCACGGATCAGACATCTCCTTTACATGGCGCAACTCTTTTTGTCTTGGAGAACAGAGGGCCAAAACAAGGTCATCTTTCCGAGCCTGCCCTCACAATGACTCGCTCTTGCGTGCGCAAACTAGCAAACATAATTAAATTTCCACTGTGGCAGTGGTGTGAAACCGCTGCTCACTCTACAGGAAGTTTCCCTTCACCAGCTTTTGAAGAGCTACTCAAAAATCTCCTTGCGGCAATCATTGACTGTTGCCTCAAATCTTCCCTCGGCTGTCAGAGAGATTAGCACATCACAGGCGCGTCGAAGATCTGCACTGTCTGTGTCAGCGTGTGTTAGTTGCTCTTCAACGGTCCTTCCTCTTAACACAATGGTGTAACTGTCTACAGATTGGGTGGTGATTGTTGGTGACAATGGAATCTACCCACTGAGACAAACATGTCAAATGCCATTTCTTGTAATATCTTGAAATCAGGATAATTAAATGCCTGATAAAGATTGGAATGCCAAGAAGAAATTAATTACCCAAGTTCCTGGTTTCTGCAAGACTAATATGTTTGATGAAATGTTATTGACTTAATGATTAATGATAACCACTGACAATTGGAAAGGAGTCCAAACCTTAAGGGGAACGTTACCTAAGTCTGCTAAACAAGTCTTTCAACTCAAGCCGGGAGTGAGAATTATTCTCGGTTGAATGAATAAGTAATGAAAAAATATTTGCATGACACATTTTACCCGGCCTTGCCTGTATCGCATTTCATTTGTTTACTTGAACAAATCCCACTTTGGTGTCTTGCCTCCAGAACAAACAAAAATATATATGACCAGAGCTCTTAAAATAGATGTTAAATGTAGTTTACTGAGTAAACAAACACACGCTTCCCTTCTTCTTCTTCATAACCTGAAATTATGCCAGAGTCATACTTTGCAAGCAGGAAGCTGGATGTTATCATGATTTATGGTGTGGTTTTTCTTCCACGCTGCAAGAACAGCCACACGGTCTCACGTTCCTTGACTTTTAAAATAAATCTGGGAGTTAACCAAAGCGTTGATGACATCATGCAGGATTGGATTACCTCCTCACCTATGCGGCGTGTTTGCACAAAGCGGAGTGCGAGGGCTGACGAGCGTGTTTACACAGATGACAGAGAACATGCTGGATGAGGGAACACCAAACGCCGGCATTAAACGCTGGCTGTCGAGCACTTAACCGCGGTTATTACATGTTAGCAAAGCAAACAGTTGACTCAGCCAAGACAAAAACAACACGGGAGACAGACGGTTTTTAACGACCCACCCATGTAAACTCAAGACCATCTCTGTCTGACCGTCCTGATAACAGGCAGCTACTCCACCATGAGGCCACCGCGTGTCTAAAACAAACTGTTGCGTGTTTCGCTTGTAATGTTTGCATTTCAGTGACGGCTTCAAATTACATCACCGCGACCTGATAAGGCTGAGTGTGTAATCATGGATTTATGAGCCGTGTGTAACGCAATGTGGTGACACAGTTCTCTGGGAAGTGTTTGTAGAGCCCAGGGTAGAAGAATCACCTTTGTTTGCCAACGAGAGGCGAACATATCCGACCTTGGTGAAGGACGAGGCTGAAGGACTGTTGAACCAGCGTGCACAGAAAATACAGACAGAGACAAAAGGGTAGCAAGGAATCAAATGAAGTATGCAAAAAAATATTCCCTTACTATAACAAAGTAGTGATTTGAGTGCAATGCTTCAATATGTACATAACGAAGAGCAAAGAAAAAGGATTGGGTGTGAGAGAGTAGAGAGAACCTCATACTGGCTCAGGGGATCACTACATTAAATATTTTCCTCTGAGGACCATGAACAAAATAGCACAAATTCATCTAGTAGATATTATGATAGTGTCACTGGGTCATTGAAAGTTTTTATATACGTTGGGAACACTAGATAAAAAGTCGCAAGATCTCAAAAGCCATATGAGGGTTCGCCCTCTGGGGACCTTCACTATCTGCAACAAAAAAGACATTTCACTGAATAAAAGTTTTAACCTTATGGTGGCACAAAAGTAAAAGTCAGGGGATGAGCAGAGTTAGAAGGATTCATCCTCTTGGGGTCATGAACGTCCGTGTGAACTTTCATGAGAATCAATCCACTAGCTGTGAACCAAAGGTGTGGACAACCCAACATAACAGAGCCAACCACTAATGTGGCTAAAATGCAGTAGTGTGACATACCAAAGTTCTTGCAACCACACAGCAATGTGCTTGTTCCACATTTGTTAATGGCCTGTGTTATTGACGACTACCATCTCTCTGCACCGCTGGTTTAAAAATAAAGGCATCCTATTGATTTTTAAGGCAGGATGGAAAAATGAGCCAGCGATAAAAGCCCATTTACGCCTCGGGCCCTCGCTGCTGTTCGAGCCCATTTTCCATCTTCATTCAGCGAACCTGCCTGTGCCATTACATCGAAACGGGCGTTTAAATTAAATGGTGTACCGTAAATAACCTTTTTCTGAGAGTAATACTTTCTCAGGCTTTGACTTGAATGTCTTAACTTTTGATTCATGCCCAGCTCTTTTTATTATTATTCCGAGGACGACATTTTTAGTGCCGCCATTATCAGTCTCAGAGTTACAACCCACGCTTTAACCCCCTATTTAAAACTGGGTTACAATTGTGAATTTTAAAGTGTGGCGGTGGGGTGACACATAAGTCATTTGGCCGCTGTCAACCCCGGTGACAAATAAAGACAATACTTCTCTCGCATTCAAACCTGTGGACCGGTAACTTTGTTCTGATGTGGCATCTCTCCAAGTCATTACCGACAACCCTTATATCACCTAACCTGTAATTGTTGTTTTAGTGTCACAAAGGCTCGATACAGTCATAAAACTCAGCCTCTGTGGAGTTGAGCAACTCATCACTTTGAAGCCTGCGGAGTATATTTGTGTTATCATCTTATCTGCAGCATCCAAGTGATCATGGAGCCAAGCAGCTGGTGGAGGGTAACGTTCGGGGTTTGTAGACTTTGTTGAAAAGTTCTCAGACAGACACATGAAAACCACTGGGCCTCACAGTCTAGTCCCATCAGTCGAAGGGAGCCCTGCAACATGTGATGCATAGTGTGCAAAGTTTCATGCTTCAAAAAATTTCAACAGCATTAAATAAAGCAGTTTTGCCGCCTCTGCA